AAGCTGTCAATGGCCATATAAAAATACTCCAAGTCACTAATAATTAAATAAAATTAAAACTGTTCTGAGACACCACCTCACATCCATCAGATTGGTTGACACGACAGAAAACGAAAATGACAAATGCTGGAGATGATGTGGGAAAACAGATACATTAGTGCACTGTTGGTAGAGCTGTGAAACTAGTCTAACCATTCTGGAAGGCCATTTGAAACTATGCCCCAAAGGTTATTAGACTGTGCAGACCCTTTAACTCAGCAATACTGCTTCTTGGGCTACACCCCCAAAGAGATAAAAAGGGACTATTTTTGTACCCACATGTACAAAAATATCTATAGCAACTCTTTTTGTGTGGTGGCAAAGAATTGGAAACCAGGGGAATGCCCATCAACTGGGAAATGGCTGAACAAGTTGTCACATATAAATGTGATGGAATACCATTGCATTATAAGAAAAGATGAAGGGGGTGGTTTCAGAAAAATCTGGGAAGACTTATATGAACTGATGTAAAATAAAGTGAGCAGAACCAGGAGAACAATTCACACAGTAACAGCAATATTGTAACAATAATCCATAGTGAAAGACTTAGCTATTCTAGTCAATACAGTGATCTAAGACAATTCCAAAGGACTTATATTGAAAAATGCTATCCACCGCCAGACAGAGCATGGATGAACTCTGAGTGCAGATGAAAACCTTTTTTTCCTCTTTATTTTTCTTTCCTTTTTTTTTTTTTTGCAACATGGCCAATGTATAAATATATTTTGCATGACTACACACACATACATACATAATGGATATCATATTTCTTGCCTTCCCAATGATTGGGGGAAGGGTACAGGGAGGATAAGAATTTGGAACTGAAAATAAAAATTTTAAATGAAAAAAAATGTATTATCAAATCAGGCAGACCAAGTAGCCTAGACACCTGCTTGCTGCCTGCTAAGGAAGCAAAGCATTGCAACAGCCTTGTCCAAGTTTCTCAGCTGGAGAAGAACTAAGGCAAGGCCAGAAACCCTGCAAACTAGAAGGTGCATGACTGTGTTATCAAGAGGTAAAAATAAAACTCTCCCAAATGGATTTTAAAACCCTGAGGAATGACTGAAGCTTTCTTAATGAAAGTTTGTGTGGAATGTCTTATTAGAGAACTCCAGGCCAGCATGTAGCAAACTTGCCGCTTGTTCTTCATTTCAAAGAGGACCAGTGACATCACAGAGTGATGTGTTGACTCACACGTAAATTGGATTTAAGTAAGGCAGAACTGCACAAAGTTGTCAGCCTCACTCTTTCTTAGTGAGTCATTGAAGGCCAGTGGAGAGAAAAAAGCCAAGATGACTGGCAATGGCCTGGGATGCGGTGGTTGACCTTGGCATCTTCAATGACTGACCAAGCTTTAGGTACTCCACAGCATCTGCTTTAGCCACCTTCATAGCTGTTAGAACAAATTGTTCTTATCCACCCGTTCAGCCAAGGAAAGTCTTCAGATGCTTGGGGTAGACATCCCCTTCCCTCACCAACAGGTTTGAGGCCTGTCAGTTACCCTTAACCCAGTTTAGCCTATCTGCTTTTACTAAGATGGTTCTACTAGGGTGTGGCTGCTGTTGCTCATGCTACAGCTTCTTGAAACCACAAGTGAGAGTTGGGTAACCAGTTGGACACCAACGGTGGATGAGCAGCTCTGAAAAGAGCTTAGCGAGCCCTCACTCCAGAGGTGCTAGTCCTCCCTCAATACTCCATATACCCCACGTAGCAAACTAAGAGACCGATGAAGGGAAAAGAAGGTGAGAATTGATCTAAAGGAATTATGTTTCAGTGAGGCTTCAAGAAAATCTTTATAAATGGGGCCATCGCAAGTAAGGACCATCTTGAGTCAGGAAGAATTTTTACCCCGTGTGGCACAGGTCAGCTCAGTTGTCATCTTTGTCACCCTACAAGTCTCCAGAATCACAATCGCCTCCCTGGCTTTTACTGCGATAGTGTTCGTACCCATTCCATCTTCCTTCACTTCTCCTGCCGTAACCCCCTTGCTGTTCCTTCTGGAGTAGGCCAAACACCCTGTCACTGCTACCAAAGGAGTTGCCTTTCAAGCCTTGGCATGACTTTCCCACATGGTCCACTTTGATCTGTCACTCATCCATTTCTGACCAGCATGGCATCCGTAGCATGTACAGGGCTGGTGAAGGTGATGGACCTTTGTACATCCCTGTCTTGGATGACCATGACCTCGGCTGTGTCCTTGAAGCTACTGAACTGCTGCTTCAATGCCTACTTGTCCATGTTGAAGTCCTTGGGTGTGGTAATGACTCAAGTGAACAGAGGACAGTGAGGAAAGACTACTCTTTTATATTTAATGCTCTACAGGCGGTTGCACAGATGGTATAAAATAAATCCTTTTTATAATTGAGTTGGAATATTTGGATGCAAATTCATCTTCTGTAGCCTCACTGAAAGCATCTTTAGGACAGCTTCATAGCAGAAAGGACAACAGGGCTGATGTGAATCTTATCCAGATCCTGCATGAGTTTGTCTTCGGCAAGATCTAGCAACAACTCATATGTGTTACACGTGAAGGTTTGAAAAGCACCATTATTTGCCATTATCTCATTTCAGCCATGTCTGTGAGGCTACTTTACAGAGGAGGAAATTGGGCTCATAGAGGTAAAGTAACTTGTTCAAGGCCACACAGCTAGTTATGGAGTAGCAGTGGGATTTGGCAGAGCTCCTGTGGTGTGGGCATTCCCAGAGCAGCAAGGACAGACCCCTTCCATCCTCAGGTACCCCTTCTTGTGTTGAAACTGGAGGGGGATGAGAAGGACAAGTCTAAAGCCCCTGCTTCCCCGTCACTGGCTGGGCATGCTTGTCTGCAGTTAGCAGCGGGGCGGCCGGTGCCCACATAACAACTGACAAAAGACCTTGTTTACTGACTTGGTGCTGAAGGACAGCTCAGCCAGTGGCTGCCATTGGCTGGATGCATTATAGGTCTCATGCTCTTTCCTTGTGTTCGATGCTGTCCTTAGAATTCCTAGTCCAGCCCTGCGAGTCCTGATGGCCACCTTCTTTCCTAGAGTCTGACAGTCAGCCCCGCTGCAGCGCCAGTGGGTTAGAATACCCTTCTGCCAAGAAAACAACAAAACACACTGTCTCTTCAGTATTTGCTAGGTACTCAGGAAGGAGTTTGGTGAGCACCACAGGAGGAGAAGACGGTTGCTGCCCATGAATCTGCCTGGGAACATGTAATCCTAGCCACTCCTTCCCTGGGAATTACTTTAAGGCATCACCAGAGCTGTATACAAACCAGGCATAGTCATTTTGACAACCAGAGTGTTTGGCACACCGCGAACACTTCATCAGTGTTTTGCCATTCACTCATCTTTACCCACAACAGACTTATAGACTGATGAATAAACAAACACAGACTGTATTTGAATAATGTGCTTCATATATGTGTATTATGATACCTATACATATGGATATGATATGTAGTGCAGTTTTTCAAATGTATGTAAATATTATTGTGATTAATACAAGTTCATTTAAAAGTGTTTCTGAAATCATAGCTTTTTGTCATATATTTCCTCAGTCATACTAATGGTTCAAAAATAGTTCAAACCTTAATTACTACAGTTTTTTTACTTTAGAAAGGGGTGCTCATGCTCAAAACAGTTGGAAACCACTGAGTTAGAACCTTGCAAAAATAATGTGCAAGGTCAATCTGAAATCATTCCAAGTCCCTACCTGGCAAGGTGCAGATGTCAATTGTGAAAACAGAGCACTGAGCCCTGCCTGTGCACTGGCCGGAAAATAATACTCATAAGAGCTATATGTTTGCTACAGCAAGTACCGCCCGTGGGTAATCAGACGCAGTGAGGGCAGAGAGCACAGGCCAAGAGTCATGTGACTGGTGCTTGCTAGGGGACCTGGTGCCCAGGACTAACAGCATTTCTTTAGTCCATAGGAAGAGGGCATCCCAGCTGTTCTGGCTGCCTTACGCTGGGCCAACAGAGCCCAGTGCCCTGGGCCCAGCGGCAGAATACTTTTATGAAATGTGTAGTGGTGCTCCTTTCTTGGGGACAGAAGAGAAGAGCTGGAAAGGGAAGCCTGGCTCTCTGTTACCTGGCAACATCATGAGCTTCCTTTCATGATCTAGCCATGTATTTACAAAGCCCTGGGGTTCCTCCATGATGAGAGCCATAAGAAGAGCCCGGCTTTTATGACCTACTTAGCCACAAGATTGCTTTGGGACCTTCCTTCTTCCCCAGAGGGGGCTGTCATTGTGTCCCTAACTTGGACTCTCCCTTGTCTTTTCATGCATTTCAAAGATGTGTTTTATTGATTGCTGCTCACTGCCTGGGGGGTGTCGGACATGCTTCACTAGGCCTCATTTTCCTGATCTGTAAAATTAGAGCTTGGGCAAAGGGCCCTTTCAACACTAATCCTATCTACATTTTGTGCTATTTTTTGTGTTTAAAAGATAAAGAAATCATATAGGCCTGTTAAGTCAATCAACTATTTAGAAACATTATGGCTGTTGTATAATAGTGCCATTGAGAGTTGTGGGAATTTATTTAAAACATAGGTGGGATCGCTTCCTATGTGAACCAGGAGGAGGCTCTTGCTTCTAAGCATTGTTTTCTCCAGTCCATTACCTAATAACAGCAGCTAGCATTTATAGATAACTGAGGTTCAGAAAGAGCCTGACAAATGTTTTCTCATGTTCTGTATACACCCAGGAGGACCATCTTCCTTTGTTTACGCACTTCCCAAACACCCACTTGCCTTTAATGTTCCAAGTTCGAGCTCTTGAGAAGGGGTTTTAAGGACTTCTTCCCCTTCTCCAAGGAGCTGGCAGCCTCTACCTGCCTTCTAATTTTGGCCCCTGTGGTTTTAATTTTGCTTCTCTCTGAATGTTCAGACGGCTTCAAGTGAAATAGTCATTCTCATCCAAGAAGCAGAGTCTTTGTCATCTGAGGGTTTGGATTCTCATGGGTGTTTTTTAATAGGTTGATGAAAAGCCCCCAACTTTGATGGCAGATTGTCTGGTTATCAAGCAGTTTTTGCACAGAACCAGCATAGTTCACCCAAAGGTAACGTGTCGATTGACTTGACTTTGCCGTTTTTCTGGGCAGTAACAGTGGGAGGTGGGGGTGGGGGCGGGGAGGGGGAGGGAGTTCTCTCTTTCGCTAGAGATTTTCTGCGTGGTTGAAAACAGGAGCATCTGTCTGTCTATCTGTCGAGCTGATGATTTCTAGTGTTGGACTGGTTTGGTTTCAGTGTACTCTTGAAAGAGTCTAATAAGAGGGAGAGAGGAGCTAGCATTTATTCAGCCAAGTGCTTTTTACAAGCATCATCCCATTTGATCCTTACCACAACCCTGCAAGGTAGATGCTAGTATTATCCCCATTTAAATTTGAGGAAACGGAGGCAGACAGAGGTTAAGTCACTTTCCCAAGGTCACACAGCTCCTGAGTGTCTGAGGCTGTATTTGACTATATTGCCTGACTCCCCGCCCAGTGCGCACGCTCTCTCTCTTCTCTCTCTCTCTCTTCTCTCTCTCTCTCTCTCTCTCTCTCTCTCTCTCTCTCTCTCTCTCCCTCTCCTGTGGCGCCCCCAGCTGCCTAAGATAGAGAGAGATCTCTCCTTCAATACAGACTTTTCTTTGGAGTTCTGTCTTCAGCCTTGCTATTGTCTCCCTATGTCACCTTGGGTGAGTCATTTCCATCTTGGAGCTTCAGTTCTCTTTTATGCACACATGCTAACCCTTGCTTCTACCCTTTCCTCCCAGAGTGACCAAGGAGAACAAATTAGAGAATTTCTCTATTGTGTATTTGAACCCTGGACATCCAAAATGTGCATGAGGGCCCATTCCCAGAGGCCTTCCCAGGGATAGCTGAGTTCATAGTTGTTGGGCACGCCTCCTTCCTTGCTTCTCCCTCCTCACCTACCTGCTCGTTCTCCAACCTGCCTGTTCCAGACCATCCCAATTGGCTTACCTGCTGTTCCTCAGACTAGGCATCTGGTCTCCCTGTATGGTGCCTTTGCACAAGCTACCTCCGATGCATGGAATCCACTCCCTCTAGCCACAGCTTCTTTCAAGTCTCCACATCCATGCCTCCTCCGATGGAAACTCTTTCCTGATTCCCCCCAGCCCTAATCCGCATTTAACAATGGGCCTAAAGTCAGGGAACCCTGAGTTCACACGTCACCTCAGACATTTACTGGCTGTGTGACTCAGAGCATGGTCCTCAACCTCTGTCTGCCTGTTTCCTCAAGTGCAAAATGGGGATCGTGACAGCAGCTGCCTCACAGGGCTGTTGTGGGGGTTAAATGAGATAATTTTTGTGAAAAGCGCTTAGCCCAGTACCTGACACACATAGCAGGTGCTAAACAAATGTTTGTTCCCTTCATCTCGTTAGATTTCTCTTGGCCTTCTCAAACGACTACACGTGACCGCTTCTGTCACCTACTGAACCCTTTATTCCCAGTGCCTAGCACATAGCACTTTGTTGGATTGGATTGGAAATGCGTTGAGTTGTGAGAAAGAGCTTGATAATGGGTGAGGATTTAGCCTGTACTAAATACTCGAGCTACTCATTTGTTTGCAGGTCAGATTCCACTTTGGCGGGGAGGTGAATGGAATCCTCTTCAAGGAAACCTTTGGGTAAGTCCCCTTCTGGCCACAGAGATGGTGCCATTTCCTACGGCCCAGACAAGTGTAGTCCCCACAGCCACACCAGCCTGACCAGGGCACGGAAGGGTTCCCCTGAGGTGGCAGACAAAGAGCCTCTGCTGGGAGCCAGGACAAGATGTGGGAGGAGCGGGCATTTGATCCGCTGGAACCTTGACCTATTGTTTCTGTCCTTTCCAGGGTAGAGAAGGAGCCCGTGGTGAAGCTGCTAAATGGGATTGGCCTGCTCACCAGTCAGCACCACTATATGAGGTGAAGGAAAAGCTGTGTCTCTCTCATTCCTGTGACCTGGGAAAAGGAAGGTCCTTGGGATGTGATGGGACCCTGGGGCAGTTTGACTTCACGATGCCAGGGTTTAGCTCAGCTGATCATCTTCTGAGGCACTACCCTCCCCTCTACCAAGACTCCACCTAGGATTTAGAGAGTCTTCAATTTGGGCTGTGACCCCGAAGGCTTTTTTAGTCCATCTTCTCACCCCAAGTCCCAACTGTATCACAGTTATCACGATGAGATTGTTCTTAAAGACATACAGCAGAGAGGACTTGTGTGAGGACCTGCTGAGCTAAGTTTGCAAAGTGGCATCCTGTTGGGCTCCCCAGCAACTGAGTGTCATGGAAGGCCTGTCCTCTGATCTCTCTTAGTGGAAGGCATGTGCCCATTGATGAGGTCACGGCTTGTTAAATACTGGAGTCATGACACTACATATGTCATGTCCTGCCACACATTGACTACGGGCATCTGATGCTTCACATAGGGAATTGGAGAAAAGGGAAGAGTCAGATTAAGGCGTCCCCACATTTTACCAGCACTGTTCCCTGCCCTGTTCCACAGCCTTATCCCAGCATGAGGCCCAGAACTCCAGAGTGTTGGACAGGGCCTCCAAGTGACCTGGGGAAAGTTTACTTTGCCTCTCGGGGCCTTCATTCCCCTGTCACTCAAATTAAGGAGTTGAACCAGATGACTTCTAATTGTTGTTGCTTGGTCATTTTCTGTCATGTCAGACTCTTTGTGACCCCACTGGGGGTTTTCTTGGCAAAGATACTGGAGAGGTTTACCATTTCCTTCTCCAGACCATTTTGCAGATGTGGAAACTGAGGCAAAAAGGGTGACGTGACTTGTCTAGGGTCACACAGCTAGTAAGTGTCTGAGGCCAGATTTGAACTTAGGAAGAAGAGTCCTCCTGAATCCAGGCTGGGTGCTCTAACCACTGCACCACCTAGCTGAAGGTACTTTCAAATCCTTAACGTTTTTGAGTCTCACATTAAATCAGTGCTGTTCTAATAAAAATATGCTTAATATGAATGTGTAAGTAGAGCCTATATCAGATTGCATGCCATCTTGGGGAGGGGGAGAAAATTCAAAACGTAAATCTTATGGAAGTGAATGTTGAAAACTAAAAATAAATAAATAGGGGCAACTAGGTGGTGCAGTGGCTAGAGCACTGGCCCTGAAGTCAGGAGGACCTGAGTTCAAATTTGGCCTCAGACCAAACACTTGACACTTACTAGCTGGGTGACCCTGGGCAAGTCACTTAACCCAATTGCCTTAGAAAAAAAAAGAAAAAGAAAAATAAATAAACAAATAATTTAGAAAAAAGAAGAAAAGAAATTTAGGAGCTGTTTACTCCAAATAATAGACGCCATTTCCCATAGCCTTTTGTCTGAGCAATAATTAGAGCTGTCAGTCACCTGGTAAACCACTCAAGCGTTAGATGTATACAGTTTCATCTGTATCATTCAGGTAATCGAAATCCCTTCTACAAGTGAAGCCCATGTCCTATTGATGGAGCATGGTGCAGCAAAGGGGCAGCCTCAGAGCCAGGAAGATCTGGGTTCAAATCCTGCCCGTGACATGCTGGCTGTGTTTACCTAGGCAAGTCCCCCGATTCTTCGGGGCCCCGGACAATGCTCTGACATTCTGAACTGAAGGGCAGCTGCTGAGCGTTGGTAGAGGTGCTTCCTCAGTGAGAACTCTCTCCCCCTGGTGAAATCACAGGCCCTCCCAAACTAGCTAAACAGCTCCCCTGGACACGGCTTGCTCACATTTGGCCTAAGGAGCCTGGCAAGCTTGTCCTGATGGCGTCAGAAGACACTTCCAGGGACTGAAACGCTTGTGGAGGCTCCCCCCTTGAGTTGAGTTGATTCTGGCTCCTCTTTGAGGTGAAGAAATCCTTGTGGGCCGGCCTGGGAGTGAAGGCGTCTGCCACAGTCTGGGGCGGTCCTGGGCCTTGGCAAAGCTGTCTTGTTTGCTCCTGTAACTGGAGCCTTACTTTAGCTGACTACCTGGGCTCCTCAGAAAGGGGACCACGCTTCTCATTCAGCAGCGACGCGTGCGTTCCCAGACACCTCTAGGGCAGGACCGATCCTCACCAGCTGGGCAGCTAGTGACACGATGGACAGAACTCTGGGTCTGGAGCCAGGAAGTCCTAGGCTCAGATCTGATCCCAAACACTAGCTATGGGACCCTGGGCAAGTCATTCAACCTGTGTTCACCTCAGTTTCCTCAGCTGCAAAATGGGGATAAGAACAGAGCCTCCCTTGCAGGGTTGCTGTAAGTAGATCAGATGAGGTATTAGTAGGATGCTTGGCGTGCTGCCTGGCATGTGATAAGTGCTATATAAATGCCTGTTCCCCTCCCCTCCCTTCCCAGAAACCCTTGCGGTGTTCAGGTCTGAGCCACAGGTTTTCTCCTAACTTAGCTGGCCCCAGGCAAACAGGATGAAGAGGTTTATTTGATCCAATGCTGAGGGGAAAGTGTTTGGTGGAATATATTCTGATTCATTGGTTTAAAGAGAGAGGGGACAAAGAGGCTCAATGGTGTGTCCCTCTGTAGGACAGACCTGTTAGTGGGTCAGTAGCCAGCTCATTTCATCCTCAGCATGATTCTTCCTGGGGAGGGAAGATGGCCTGGCTTACCCTACTCTTCTTAGAAAATGGAATTTTCCCAGTGATATAAAAAGCACCGGGGCCGAGGGCGTGTGCTGTGCAGACAAAATTATTTCAGGGGCTTTCCCAAGCCTGATTATGGCTGGATGATAGGGTCCTGTGTGCTCATGGAAACCAAACCGCCTTCCTGACTGTCTTTCCATAACATCATTAAACTGGTGGTAAAGGAAACTGCTGGTGTTGCTGGCAGAAACAGGGACTGGGGTCACAGGAACTCAGAGGTGGGAGGGACCTCAGAGGCTGTCCAGTGTAGCCCCTACTTCAAAAGAAACCTGTTTTAAGTGTGGGGTGCTACTACCCCCACCATGCCAACTTTGATGGCACCCCAGGTGGGGAGCTGAGTCACCAAGCCCTGAGGGCCAACTACAGGCAGAGAAAGTGGAGTGTGTGTGAGTGTGCCTGTGTGTGCCTGTGTGTGAATGTTTGTATGTGTATATGTATGCCTGCGTGTGTGTCTGTGTCTCTGTCTGAGGGGTTAGAGGGGGCTTCACAAATGTTGGTGGTTTCTTTTAGCCATTTCTTGAGGGGAAAAATGCCCTATGAGTTGCCTTTCATGTTTTCTGTGTCACCAGGCCAGGATTTCTGGGGGCCCAGCAAGTCTGCAGCAGAATCCACCCTGTGCTGGGGCATCCTGTTTTGCTCTCCATTCCTGACGAGGAAGCCAACATGGGCTTATTGGGGCAGCTGACCCTCACTCCAGCAGCTGCTTTGTGTCCCTGCCACAAGCTTCATCCCGACCAGACCAGCCGGATCTCTGCAGCCTTCATATCCTTTTAATGTCACTGAGGCCAAACTGTCTTTGGTGACTGATCAGTCCTCCCAGGCCTGAGAAGGCCCCCAGCACCTGCACCTGTATTTTAGACACACACACAGCACGGGCACCTGGGGCTACCTCTGGTGCAGTCCCTCCTCCTTGTGCCATGGGACAAAGAACAGAGGCCTCGGTATGGGCACGGTGAAAAGAAGGGCCTCTCACTTAGAACTCAGCAACCTTCCGGAGAAGCCACATCTAAATCATTTCAAACCTTTTTTTTTTTTGGTTACCCTACATCCCTGGGACATGGGGAAAATTCTTTCCGCTTAAATGTGACTTCACTGTAGGCCCAACAGGGAAGCCATACCACGAAAGTATGTAGCAGTAGCCAGGGAAGTAGGGGTCAGTGTTCCATCACTGAGGTCCATACTCCATGGGCCAGACTCAGTGGGATGCAGTATGTCAGCATTGACAGTGCTTGGGCACTAGCTCAGGAGACCTGTTTTTAATTCAAGTGGGAAAACTGGTTTCTTAAAGCAGAAGTTTATTTACTGGGCCAGAAGACCCACCCACAACTAGCCTGCATTCCTCTAGGTCCCTGCCAATCTAGACACATTGTGGGGCTCCCCTGTGAGGCCAAAGGCTCAGTGATATGGTCAGACAAGTGAACATTTTATTTATTGTTCATGACATGTATTTTAAACATTTGCTTTTTTAAAACCATCTTTAAAGCAATTAGTAAGCCTTTAGTAAGCACTTGCTACGTGTGAGAAGGTTAAGGGGGGCTAGGACATGATGCCAGTGGGAGCAGGTAAAGGGCCATTTGAGGACGATGTGGGGTTCCTGAATTGTCCCCCATATTTCGAGGAGGGTGCTTCTATCGAAGGCTTTGAGAACTCGATCACAAACAACCAGCAGCATTTATTTTTACAGAGCCTTCTAATTGTGTGTGAAGTTAGAGCAGGGTTTCCAGCCTCCGGGAAATGTGTGATAGGACCAGACACTTCACCTCCTACCAAAGCTGCCTCCTAATCTTTAAAATTAGAGTAATACTCTCATGACTTACCTTACCCAAGTCACTAATGTGCTTCGAAATTCTTAAAGTGCTATATTAATGCAAGTTATTAATTTTATTACAGTGAGAGGGTTGGGCTATGTTATCTCCCAGCTCATTCCCATTCTCACTTTAGATGATTCTGTGAACTGGTGGTGTATGAAAAAGCTCAGAGACAGAAGTGACGTAGGCACCTGGGGCATGGCCTGGGGCATGCTGCTGAATGCTTAGCAAGCAGCTACCCCCAGACCCATCCGTTATTAAGTATAATATGTACTATTAACATTGTCTCCTTCACTGAAGTCTGGACAATTAACAAATCGAGCACTGGCTGATGCTGGCACTGAAAATTTAACAATCAGCTCTCCCCGGGCATTTCAGAGAGCTCCAATGTACTGGAGGGCAGTTTTGCCCAACCAAAGCAGAGAATTTAAACCTGGGTATAGCAGAGAATGGGGAGGAGAGGGAGGAACATTTAAAAATCAGCACAGGAGGAATTTTGATTGGATTCAGAAGGCAACTGGCAGGCCCTGTAGATTTCAGAGCAAGAAAGCAACATTAAGATTATGCTTTAGGTTTAGAAAAAAGATTCTTGTTCTCCAAGGCCTAGCTGAGAAGGTGAAAAGCAGGAGGAGAGAGACTGGCTAGCAGCTTATGGCCTGGTCCAGGGCTGGAGCACAAACAGGGATGGCAAGAAGCGGCCCCCTCCGCATGGATCTCCTAGGGTTGACTTAACGGAGGGCACAGCCAGCTGCTGCTACCGCCCGGCACCTAGTAAGTCTAGCCCGAGAGGGAAGGGGAGACAAAGCTGATGATGACTTTGTTGGCGTCAGGATCCTCGGGGAAATCAGGAGGGAATGCGCTTCAGAGATGCTACCTTGTGGGTGCCCGTGGGCCATCCATGGGCCACCACCTTGAACATGCTGCAAGAAAGAGGAGGGATGTGAGGAAGTCTTGAGGGAGCTTACAGAATTAAAAACAGAATTTGCGGAGTATAAAATCGGGCAGTTAGGATAAGGCGGGAGCAGACGGTCGGGGAGCTTGGGGAGTGAAAGCTCCAGGGCACTTGGGAGGAGCTGACTGTGCGGGGCACTGACTGTGACTCCTCTGGGCTTCCAAACAGTGAAGGCAAAAGGGAAATGCTTTGAGCACCAAGTAGCCACTGTCTGACCAATGAAAGCCTTTCACACTTTTCCCTGAGGCTGAGCTCCAGGAGGAAGCCGTCCTGTGGTCCCTGGCACATGGAGGAGCTTGAGGACCGAGTTCTCAGCTTCTGTCTTACAGGAGATACAAGTGCTACATTGCTCTGTTCTGCCCTACAAAAGCAGGCAGCCTCAGCCCTGGCACGGAAGGGCTCTCCACAGGGCCCCAGGCTCTTGGCAGCCCACCCCACGTGCATTGACATGCCCCTTCAATGGCCTGGCGGCTTAAGAGAGAGCCTGTGGCCGAAGTCCCTGGAATTCTCCAAGTGTCGGTGATGCAGCCATCCTATGCTGGTCAAAGTGAGAAGGATGGGCTTTTGTGTCAGGCGAGCAGGGCTACATTTGTCATTCTTTTATGGAAGTATAAGAGCTAGGCTGGTGCTGTTAGCCAGGAGAAGGCTGCCTTACTGTGGGAGATCTGGGCTGGAAGCAGAACCTAGAAAGAGAATGTCTGTGTTCTTGGAAAAGGCACAGCCTTCCTCCCAGTTCTTGTGAAACAGGTTGGTGGCGTGGGGCAGGTATACTCTTTGCTATCTGTTCACTGCCTCTGTGCTCAGACCCAAACCATGTGACTCAGAGAGCTATTTGGAAAGCCGGGGAGTCCAGACCAGCCCTTGTCTCAAGGCTCAAGAAAGTTCTGCTTCTCAAGACTTCCAGGTCACTGGGTTCTTTTAGACGTGATTTAAACAGAGATGCAGATGCTGGTGTCAATCTGAGCCTGGGCCCAGACTAGCAGAGTCACAGGGCTTTGCTAAGACTGATGAAATTCAAGTCCAAGTGAAGTGTCTTTAGCTAAAAGGGGCCAAGTCTGATTTTTGGACATCAGGGGACCTCTTCCTTCACAAAAGGAAGTCCTCCTAGGGTTGATGTGTAGAGGGCGTTTGGTGTTTTCAAAAGCCAAGCTGGCAGAATCCAAGCTTTGTTAGGCCCCACCAAGTTGGAAAGCTTTGAGGCTGGCCTGTTGTGTAAGGCGGAGGCTTATTTGTGTACTACCAGTTCACCCACAGAGCACTGAGGGACTTGTGTGGCCACTGCAACCCCAGCTAGCTTCTCCCATGTCCTGACAGCCTGAGTTGGTGAGCGGCCATGCTTGCCCCACACTGGGTCTCTGGAGCACGAGTTCAGGGTCAAAAGCATAAGAGTTAGACAGACTTTCTGTCCTTTCCAGGTTAGCCTTCTCTTCGTATCTGTCATTTCCTACATATAGGTGATGGGATTCCACAGGGTTCCCTTCATTGCCTCTCCTGGCTCACTCCGTGTACATGGTGCGCCAGTCCCCAAAGTGTAGGAAGTTTTCATGATTAATTCAAATGTCCAACGACTTCCTCCTGCTGTCCTGGCCTGTGTTTTCATTTTTATGATGCTTCACTGGCTGATGGCCAAGCTCTGTAATCCTCACAGGAAGCACCTTTCTCTAAGTTCACTGTAAGAAAACAGGAGAGGCTGCTAAGGGGAAATTCTTAATCGTTCCAGTCTGTATTGCCCTGGCACAAGGAAGACAGTGCCAGGGATAAGACCAGAAGGTTGCAAGGCAGCTGTTGGTCTTCCCAAGCACACTGAGTGACGCTCATGGAGAAGATGCCCCGCTTCTAGGGACTTTGCTCGCCATAAGCCCCAAGCAAAGTTCTGAGGGTATTTGGGAGGAGGCCACAACTTCCTAGTAGCTGGGGAAAGGCCTAGTGCAGAGTGGTATGGCACCATGTAGAGTCACAGAATCACAGAATATCAGCACTGAAGGGAAGCCTAGAACAGAGACCAGCTGAAAGGGAAATCAGAACTAACACCCATTTTTAGGTGGGGAAACTGAAGCCTAAAGAGGTGAAGTCTTATATTTACACAGTTAATCTGTTGGCAGTGTATTTGTTCTAACACACTTAATACTGGGGATTCAGGAACCAAAATTTGGTATTTTTCTTTAGCCATTATATGTATTTCTGTATGGACCTTCAGGTCTGCCTCTGATATTTCCAAATCAGGAGCATCCATTAACTGTCTTCAAGGATAATTCCTACCTTTTTGACTGGAAGAAATACCACTTACGTGCAGCACCCAACTCGAATATCAGTTTGGAAGACGGTACAGTTCACTCTTGGAAAACCCCAGAGATGGGAAGAAGGGAGGGCGGAATTGTAGATGGCCAGAGTGGGCAAAAGTTGAGCCTGCTCCCTTTGGCGTGTTGGATAAAGAGGGCCAGCTGAGGCCACCCGCTCGAAGCTTCTAAGCCGTGTGGCACTAATCTGGCATGAGTCCACCATTCACTTCCGAGGCTGTTTTGTCTCACTGTGGCAGGCTTTATCCTCCTCTGAGGCTTGCTAAGACAGCCTCATCATACCTGCTCTAATCTCCAGCTCTGGAGAATTCAGGGAGCCTACATCCTTAGGAGGAAAGGAGCCGATTTGTTCTGCTGGGCCTCCTGGGGTGGGCCCAGGAGCAGTGGGGAGAAGCTAAAGAAGAGCAGATCAGGCTAGATATCAGGATGTCAGTGACCCCCAAAGGGGCTGCCTCGGGGCGGGGGGCGGGTTTCCCCTCACCCAACAGGAGGTTTTCAGAGAGAGCCTGGGTGACCACCCGTCGGGTTGGAGGGAGCCTTCTTGGCCATGTTTGAGTTGGTCCAGATGCCCTGCCCCCTTTCAGCTCTCACCTCTCTGAGCTGTGGTGCCATTTTAGCCAGGCCTCAAAAGGAGGCACTGCATGCAAAAGGGTCTTGGCAGCCAAGCAGATTAAATGCAAGGTGGCATTGCACGCTCTTACCATTAATAGCTGGAGTTTGCTTCTGACTGTTGTGTTTGTGTAATCAATCAGTTCCATGCAGGGATGTGCACAGAATACAGATCTGTAGGTCTGCATGTGCCGCTGATTAGAGCTGACCAGGCTACCAAATCCGCCAGGTAACAGGAATATGGAAGTGAACTGGCTGGGTCAGGGAGACTTCAGGGCTCTTAGCTTCAACATTATATAAATTCTACCTTGCCTGAAATCCAGGGGGGAGCTGGGGCAGGTGAATCCCAGTGGGAGAGAGAGATCCCAAAGCGTTGGCTGCCGTGCTGGGGAAGGAAAGGCAGTGTCCAAAAGTGACAGGCAGAGGCCTAGATAGAGAAGTGATCCTAAGGACGAGACTGGTTTTTTCCTGTACTTTTCGGCTGTTTCAGAATGAAATAAAGGTTCTAGATAATAACGTTTGTGTTCTTTGTGATTAGTAGACTGATATTTGGTCATAAGACAACAGGCCTCCAGAGAGAGTGGGATGGTTCTCCACATCTCAGAGGAACAAAAGGGTTTAATGACAAAGAGGTCAGTTAGGCAAATCCCAGAGGTTTTTCTCTTTTCTGCTTTAATTTTTGCTTTCAAACTTTCCAGTTTTTCACCCTTTTCCAGTCTGTGGGGCTGCTCTGAATTGTCTGGTAGTGAGCCTGGAACTTATTCATTTCTTAGGACATAAACCATGTTGGGAAAGGTTTTCTGATCCCATGCGGTTCTGGGGCTCAGGGCCAGGAGCCTTGGGTAGGATCCTGGTGATTTAGGATTTTAGGCTTTTACGGCTCTGTTCTGGGGGCCCTTGCTACCATAACTGCATTATGCCTTCCCAGTTTTCTGTGCCACATGACTTTCTTGTTCTGCATGGATTCCACCAGGCAGACATTATTGACTTTATCTTACAGATGCGGAAGCTGACTTGCCTCCATATTTCTATTCCCCATTCAGCATAAGCTTCATTGATAGGACAGACCTTTTAGCCCTGAGACATTTGAAAAATTTTGCTTATCTTAAAATATCCTGTACTATCTCGTTCTTTAGATCTGGTTCTTCCCGATGTGAGTTATTGGATTGAGTCCCATGAGAGGAGCTGGCCCCAGGACTCGGATCAACAAATTCTGCTGCTCTTTCTCATGGTGGATTTCCAGGGTGGATTCCCAGCTCAGCTGACGGAGGCCTGGGGTAGGTGAAGACCGGAGCTGTCCATTCATGGCAAAGGCTTCAGCAAACAGTGACATGTCCCCAGGATTCTGATCTATGACTTGCTTGAAGCATGGACCTTATGCAGCATGGTCAACATTGCTAAATGAATTAAATGAACTTTTCTCTAGCATTTTGAAAAACAATTGTCTTTGACACATTACCTAAATGCCTGTGTATTCCCAGGTCTACCAGCACCCTCTGCTCTCTAGGTAGCACCCCAACTAGCCAGCACCTCTGAAGCCCGACTCCCATGTCTTTGATGCCAATGTCAGAGGCAGCATGGGTGCTGAGGTCCCCCCCTCAACTTAGTGCCCTCCCTCAGATACTCCCCCTGTTTTATCCTTTAGGGGGCTGTCTCTGTGTTGGCTCTGTTCCCCCATCTCCACCCCAGACCCCCATTAGACTATGAGCTCTTGGGTGCGGGGACTGGTTTTGCTTTTCTTTGAATCCTCAATGCTTAGAACAGTGTCTGGCATAGAGTTGGGGCTTAATACATGCTTGTTGACTTGAAGAAGACCTGGGTTCAAATCTTGCCTTAGACACTTATAACCTGTGTTGTTAACTAGCCCATTTAGACAACCATTTCCTCATCAATAAAATAAGGGAGGCGAGTTCATTGACCTCACAAGTTTCTTCTGGCTTTAAGCCTCTGCTCCTATGAAGCTAGAAAGGTGTCAAGTACAGATTTGTGACAGATTTTTATTCTGTTGGCTGAAGACCAGTCTTGCCAAAGTCACAGAGGCTTACCATCAGGTTGGTGGCAGGGGTGGGCGGGTATTTTTTAGTCACAGCAACTCTCAGAGATTTTCTGCCCAGTTTTAGAGGAGTTTGGGATCCATGTTGGCGGAGGGAGAACCCCCTCTGATGAGATCAGAGATCCTGAAATCAGCTAGTATGTTTCCCCCGCTGCTGAGATGGGCCCCCCTCCCTTGGGAGCCTGCCCGAGGCCAGTGGCCTTCAGACACAGGTGGTGCCACATGACACCATGGAAAGAGTGCCGGACTTGGGGTCTGAGGTCCTGCTGCAGCCCAGCAGTGGTGTGACCTGCGGCCTTCAGTTTCCTTCTCTATAAAATGAGGGCTTGAGGGGGCCTCTGAGGGCTGTGACCACTCCAAGTTGCTGTGTTTCTGGGGGGTTCGGGGTGTTCAGTCGGGTCATTTTCAGGCCCGTGATAGGATTCAGCCCTCTATAATGATCAGAGCCAGGGGTGAACCTTTGTTCTGAGAAGAGAAGAGCCTGCCCGAGCTTAGGTGAGTGCTTACACCTGGAACCCGAGTTCTTGGGGGTCATGTGCCTCTTCTTGGTCTTTCAGGAAGGGCCTGAACTCTTGGAGCCCCAAAACTGGAAGGGAGGGCTCCTCACCCTGTCCATTAATCAACCAGCAAACATTTATCCAGTACCAATAGGTGCCAGGCTCTGTACTAATAAGTGCGAGGGATAGCATCTCCCAGCCTTGCCCTCTCACCAGGCACTCCAGCCCCTGCCTTGGGGCTCTGGGATGCTGGCTGGTAAGAGAAGAACCCCCTACACTGTTCTCTGGCCTTTCCTGCCTCCCTCACTGCCTTGTTCCGCTGGCTCCCTGGCTCCCACCCCACTACCTCCCTGTGACTTTTTTTTTTAAACAATTCAGTTTTATTTTATTTTCTGTTCCAAAGTCTCTCCCCTCTTCCTCTCCCTTCTCCACCAATTGAGAAGGCAAGAAAAACAGAACCCATTATAAATAGATATAGTCATGCAAAACATTAGCCCTGCCCCCCAAAAGAAAAGAAAGAGAAGAAAATAGTCTTCCATCTGTACTCTGAGTTCGTCAGCATTTTACCACTAGTCCTTGGGATTGTGGAATGGTCATTTTGTTGATTGAAGTTAATTAAATGTTTCAAACGTTTTGAAAGCGCTCTGGCCCTCAAGTCAGGGAGACCTAAATTCAAATCTAGTCTCAGATACTTATTAGCTGAGTGTCCTTGAGCAAGTCACTTTACCACTGTTTGCCTCAGTTTCCTCAACTGTAAAATGAGAAGAATAACAGCACCCACCTTGCACTATGGTTGTGAGGATTAAATGAGACAATATTTGTAAAGTACACCATACCTGATAGTCACAGGTGCTGTGTAAATATTTATTCTCCTTTCCCCTTTCAGAGTTTGATTAGCTTTGGAATATTGCTGTGATTGTATACCTTGTTCTCCTGGTTCTGCTCACTTCACTTTGCATCACTTCATATAGGTCTTCCGAGGTTTTTCTGAAACCATCCTCTTCATCATTTCTTACAGCACAATAGTATCACAGTCATATACCATAATTTATTTGGCCATTCCCCAATTGATAGACATTCCCTCAATTTCTAATTCTTTGTCATCAAAAAAGAGCTGCTATAAATTTTTGGTACATCTGGGTACAATTTGAACTATCTTTGATCTCTGGTGAGTAGACCTAGTAGCAGTATCACTGGGTCAAAGGACATGCACAATTTAATGGCTTTTTCGGCCTACTTGCAAATTGCCCTCCAGAACACTTAGTCCAGTTCACAGCTTCACCAACAGTGTGTTGAAATACCTGTTTTCCCACAGCTACTCTGGCATTTGTCATTTTGCTTTTTTATTAACTTGACCAATCTGATGGATATGAGGTGGTACCTCAGAGTTGTTTTGATTTGTATGTTTTTAATTGTTAGCAATTTAGAGCATTTTTCATATGGCAATTGATAGCTCGGATTTCTTCATTTGAAAATTGCCTATTCATATCCCTTGACCATTTATTAGTTGGGGAATGACTCTTATTCTTATCAATTTGGCTCAGTTCCCTGTATATCTTAGAAACGAGATCATTATCAGAGAAACTTGCTGCAAAGATTCCCCCCCCCAGATTCCCAATTCTCTTTTAATTTTACCTGTATTGATCGTGTTTGTGCAAAAGCTTTTAAATTTTATGTAATCAAAATTGTCCACTTTACCTCCTGGGAACTCCCTGTCTCTTGTTTGATCATGAACCCTTCCCCTAGCCATCTGTTTGACAGGTGATTTCTTCCAGGACTCACCCTTTATGTCTAGATCATGGGCCCGATTGGACTTATCTTGGTGAAACGTTGGTCTAGACCTATTTTTTGCCAGCCTACTTTCTGGTTTTTGTTGATTTCTTTTCCCCATAGCTGGGATCTTTGGGTTTATCGAACACTAGGATACTGTGCTTGTTTGCATCTATATATTGTACACCTGATCTGTTTCACTAATGAGCCTCTCTATTTCTTATCCAATGCCAAATTATTTTCACAATTACAGCTTTGTAGTATAGTTTGGAATCCGATACTGCTAGGGCCCCTTCCTTGTTCATTTGTCTCAGTCGCATCCAAATCTTCATGCCCCTGTTTAGGGTTTTCTTGGCCAAGATTCTAGAATGGACTGCTATTTCCTTCTCCACTTTATTTTACAGATGAGGAAACTGAGCAAATAACTTGCCCAGGGTCACACAGCTAGTATTGAACTAAGGAAGATTAGTCTTCTGACTCCAGGCCTGGCACTCTATCCACTGTGCCACTTAGCTGCCCATTTAATTAGTATAGCACTAAATAAATTAATTAATTTTGGTAGTATCATCACTTTTATGATATTGGCTCAGCCTACCCATAAGCAGTCAACATTTCTCCAATTATTTAGGTGTCTTTGTCTGTATGGAGTGTTTTGTAGTGGTGTTCATATAGTTTCTATGTCTTAGAAGGTAGACTCCCAAATATTTTGTATTATCTGTAGTTATTTTTCAGTGGAATTTCTCTATCTCTTCCTTCTGGGTTTTGTTGGTAATAATCAGAAATTCTGATGATTTGTGTGGGTTTATTTTATATCCTGCAACTTTACTGAAATTTTTACTCATTTTGATTAGGTTTTTTTGTTGTTGCTGACTCTCTCAGTTTCTCTAAGTGAATATAATCTGCAAAGAAGTAATAGTTTTGTTTCCCCGTTGCCTATACTTATTCCTTCGATTTATTTTTCTTGCTTTATTGCTATAGTATTTCTGGTACAGTTTTTAATGGGGATGATGGACATTCTTACTTCAGCCCTCTTCTTATTGGAAAGGCTTCTAACTTCTCCCCCTTACATTTAATGCTTGATCTTGGTTTTAGATAGATAGTACTTATTTTAAGAAGAGCTCCACTTATTCCTATGCTCTCTGAAGTTTTTAACAGGAATGGGTGTCGTTATTTTGTCAAAAACTTTTTCTGCATCTATTAATACAATTAATCATGTTTATAATTTTCCCAATATTGAACCAGCCCTGCATTCCTGATACAAATTTAGCCTAGTTATAGTATATGGTCGTTATGATACATTGCTGTAGTCTCCTAATATTTTATTTAAAATTTTTGCATCATTATTTATTAAGGAAATTTGTCAATAATTTTCTTTCTTTTTAAAATTTTCCCAGTTTAGGTATTAAGACTACATTTGTGGGCAATAAAACTGCGCACACCCTTTGGCCCAGCAACACCACCACTAGGTCTGTGCCACAAAGAGATCAAAGGAAAAGGACCTATATGTACAACAATATTTATAGTAGCTCTTTTAGTGGTAGCAAAGACATGGAAACTAAGGGGATGCTCATCAGTTGAGGAATGGATGAACATGTTGTGGTGTATAACTGTGATGGAATTATTGCTGCGCCATAAGAAATGATGAAAGGGATGGGTTCAGAAAGACCTAGGAAAATTTACACGAGCTGAGGCAAAGTGAAATGAGCAGAAACAGGAGATCATTGTAATGACAGTCAATGGTGAAGGACTTGGCTACTCTGATCAATACAATGATTTACAACAATTCCAAAGGACTCGTGATGAAAAATGGTATCTGTCAACCTCCAGAGAGAAGCAACACACTCTGGTATTTTCCTTCACATTATTTTTCTTGCTTTTTTTTTTCCTCACAAGCTGATGTGGCAATATGTTTTGCATGACTTCATATGTACAATGGGTATCATATTTCTTGACTTCTCTATAGGTGGGGGAGGTACTGGAAGGAGAGAGAGAGAGAGAGAGAGAGAAGAGAGAGAGAGAGAGAGAGAGAGAGAGAGAGAGAGAGAGAAATTTATAACTAGAAATAAAAATTTTAAATAAAAAACTGTGTCATAGAAGGAATTTGGTAGGGCCCTCCTCCTTGTTTACCTATTTTTTCCCCAAACAATTTATGTAGTTTTGGAATTATTGTTCTTTTGATGTTTAGTAGAGTTTGTTTAGTATCTTTGCCAAGAAAACCTCAAGGAAGGCATTGGCATGCTCTGGTCTGTGGGGTCATGAAGAGTTGGACACGACTGAATAACAAACAAGAATTTGTTTGTAAATCCAGCTACCCCTGGGTTATTTTCTTTTCCTTTGAGAGTTCATTTATGGCTTGTTCAATTCATTTTTCTAAGATAGGGTTATTTAAAAATTGTATTTCTTGTTCTGTTAATCTAGGCAATTTATATTTTTGTAGGTATTCATCTATTTCATTTAGATCATGTTTTATAGGCATATAGTTGGGTAGAAGGTCACCTAATAATTGCTACTATTTCTTCTTCAGTGGTTGTAAATTCACTTTTTTCATTTTTAATACTGGTAATTTGATTTTTTTTTTTTTAAATCAAATTAGCAAATGGTTTATCTGTTTTACTATTTTTGTCTTGTTTTTTAAATAGCTCTTAGTTTTATTGGTTCAATTTTTTTTACTTTAGATTTTGTTCATCTCTGCCTTGGTTTTCAGGATCTCTATTTCGGTGTTTCATTGGGAATTTTTAACTTGCTGGTTTGCTAGTTTTCTTTAGTTACATGCTCAGTTCATTGATTTGCTCTTTCTTTCATTGATGAGCAAGTAGGCTAATATATTTAGACAATGGATTGAGAGAAAACAACAAAACTATTCTCAGGCCCTTTGTGTTCTTTAACTCTGTGTTTCTTGATGGCACTAAAGTTCTGAGAGGATACTTGTATCCTCTCAGAACCCCATTAGAATCTTAACGTAGCATCTTTCTGATTGCTCACTTATATTTGCCTTTTTGTGTTCTTTTTTAATGGATTTTTTTGAGGGGGTTGGTTTTGGGGGTTTTTTTGGGCAAGGCATCAGGGTTAAGTGACTTGCCCAGAGTCACACAGCTGGTGAGTATCATGTGTCTGAGGCCGGATTTGAAGTCAGGTCCTCCTGACTCCAGGGACGGTGCTCTATCTACTGTGCCACTAGCTGTCCCTTTGTGTTTCTCTTGACTTAGAGTTTCTCTTCAGCTCTGATCTTTTCATCAAGAATGATTAGAAGTCCTCCATTTCATTGAAGGCTTATTTTCTCCCCTGTAAGATTATGCTCAGTTTTGCTGAATATGTTATTCTTGGTTTTAAACCTATATCTTTTGCCTTTTGGAATATAGTGTTCCAAGCTTTACACTTCTTTGTCGTGGTAGCTACTAAATCTTGTGTAATCCTGACTGTGGATCCTTGACATTTGAATTCTTTCTTTTTGGCTGCTTGCAGCATTTTTTTCTTTGAACTGGAAGATCTGGATTTTGGCTATGATGTTCCTGGGAGTTTTCATTTGGATTTCTTTCAGGAAGTGACCAGAAGATTCTGTTTTCACTTTGCCCTCTGGTTCTAATAGATCTGGGAAATTTTCCTTCATTATTTCTTGAAATATGATATCCAGGACATTTTTTTGATCATGGCTTTCGTGTAGTCCAGTGATTCTCAAATTATCTTTCTTTGATCTGTTTTCCACTGTTATTCTGTTGTGATCTGTTTTCCACTGTAATTTGTTATTCCACTGTTGATCTGGTTTTTCATAAAAGATGTGTTTTATTCTGTTTCTTAGTCTTTTGACTTTGTTTTCATATTTATTGTTGTCTCCTTGTTGAAGCTGTAACATGTACGGTGGCCACGCCCCAGTCAAACCATCTCAGCTGACAGCCTAGACCAGGTTGAGGGTACCCCACAGGCCTCAAACCCATCGGTGAGTCAGGGGGTGTCTACCCCAAGCATGTGACGACCTTCCCTGGTGGAATGGGCGGATGAGAACAGTTTGTGCCAGCAGCCATGAAATTGGCAGAAGCAGATGCTGTGGAGTATTTAGAGCTTGGTCAGACACAGAAGACACCGAGGTCATCCCTACTTTTGTCCTGCCACTGGACTTTGATAACACAGGAAGAAAGAGTGAGGCTGATGACTTGGTGCAGCTCTGCCTCACTTCAAGGCACACAGGAGTCAAGACACCCCCCGACGTCTTTGGTCCCCTTGGAAAAGGAACAACAACATTTCTGTCTCGTGGAGTCGTTGGCTTCTAACTTGGTCCATTCTAATTTTCACAGAATTTATTGCTTAGGCAATTCTTGTGCCAAGCTATTAATTCCCTTTCCTAGTCTTTCTTCCATTGCTCTCATTGCTTTCATTTTTCCTCTAGCACTCTCCTTTCATTGATAAAAGACATTTTTTTTTAAACACTTGCTTCATTTCTTCAGAAATTCTAGGTGGTCTCGTGCCTAAGCTCTGCTTTCCTTTGAGTCTTTGCTTGTAGATGTTTTAGAGTTCTCCTCTTCTGGATTTGTGTCCTAGCTGGCCTTGGCACTATAATAACTCTTTATTGTGGGAGCCCCACTATCTGAATCAGGGATAATCTCTGTGTACTTCTGGAGTGAATATTGGGGCTTTTTTTGGTTCTGGTTTATATTCTCTGGGATCCTGCTTTTGTTTTCTTCAGGGATAACTGCTGCCTCCTCATCTCTGCCTCCTGAATTCCCTGGCTTCCTTTAAGCCCCAGCCAAAATGCCACCTTCTGCAAACAGCCCTTCTGGGTGCTCCTTCATGTTGCTGTCTTCTTTCTGGTGATCGTCTCCAGTTTGTCATGTATATTTCTTATTTGAACAGAGTTGTCTGAACATGGTCTCCCCCATTAGACCGTGAGCACTCTGAGAGGAGGGACCTTTTGGTTTTTGCCTTTCTTCGTGTCTCCAGTGCCTAGCTCAGTGCCTGGCACATCGTAAGTTTTGTTGTTGTTTGGTTGTTTCTGTCACATCCAATTCTTTGTGACCCCATTTGGGGTTTTCTTGTCAGTGATGCTGGACTTTTTCCTTCTCCATTTCACGTTACAGATGAGAAAACTGAGGTAAACAGGGTGAAGTGACTTGCCCAGGGTCCCCCAGCTAGGAAGTGTCTGAGGCTGGATTTGAATTCAAGATCAGTCTTCCAGACTCCAAACCCAGCACCACCTGCCCTAGGAAGGAAGATCTGAATTCAGATCTGGCCTCCGACCTTCAAGTCATTTAAACTCCTTTTACCTTTTCTTTAATGTTAAAATGGGGATAATAATAGCACCTGCCTCCAAGGATCAGTTAGATAAGATTAGTTAAGTGCTAAATAAGTGCTGATTCCCTTTTTCTCCCCTGCCAAAGGATTGGTGGTAAAGGACCTATGTGTTCATTAGCTGGGGAATGGCTGAGCAGCCTGTGAGGTATGAGCGTGATGGGAGACTCTGCACTCTAAGAAACATCAAAGATGGCAGATTGATAGAAATGTGGGAGGACGTGGTTGAACTGATGAGTGAAGGGAGCAGACATGGGAAGTTCATCTGCCCAGGACTCCTGTCCTAGAGATGAAGACAGCACTCAGATGTGGCAAACCTCACTAACGTGAATGCTCAGCGTGTGGGCCATGAAGGGTTCTTTCCTTTCAGTAGAAAGGTGGGGGGCAATGGGTGCAGTGTATCGCATACACTGCCAGGCCTCATTTCTGTGTTGGATGGTTTTACTTAACTATTTGTCTTTGTTACAAGGAAGGATTCAGGGGGGAGAGGGCACAGTACATTGGGGATTGATTGGTAGAAAAACCAAAGACATCAGCAAAACTTTAAAAAATGTTTGTTGAGTAAGTAAATGAATGACTCATCCTAGATCAGGGCTATTCATCTTCTCACTCCCTTTAGGGTTACAGTCTTTGCTTCTAACTCATCTGAATAGCATCCTGCTGGAGAACCAGAGCCTGGTACAGGGCGCCGTACAGACAGCTGTGGACCAGGCCTTGGAGCAGCACCACCGGCGAGTCAAGGTGAGAAAAGGAACCGGGCTCCCTCAGCTTCACATCCCTTCCCCTCTTCTCCCCTCTGGCTAGGAGGAGAGGTTCAAACTGAGTTGATGGTGGGGCTAGCTGGGGAACTGAACCCCCCACCCCACCCCCCTCTCACCTTGAGCTTTACCAGGTCCTGCCGCTCCTCACCCTCCCCACCCCGACTCTAGCACAGTCTGCAGCTCCCCTTGGCTGAAGCCCAGTCAGACCTGGACAAGAGACACTTAGCACAGCCTTAAACAGAAACTGATAATGGGTGCACCCCCACGTGAATGCATACAATCCACATATGCACAACATGCAGACAATAATACATGCATCACACACTACCCATGCATGCACATGCCCATGGCGCACATATACACATGTGCACGTACGTACACACACACACACACACACACACACACACACACACACACACACATATACACACTATACATCGGCGACCTCTCCACCAGGAGTTGCTGTTTGTCTCTCCGTCTCATCAAGTTTTCTTTCCTTCTCTTTGTCATCACCAACTCACCTCACTTGCTTGGTTTCTCTATCCTCTTGTCTTGCTATTTCCCTTCTGGTTTCATCAGCACTTTTCAGGGCAAAAAAGAGCCCTGAAGTGGCAAAAACTGACAGATTTTTGTTTTTGAAAGTTCTTATTGTTCTGGGTCTTTGTCAACAAGGCTGTTATTTGAGGGCAGAAAACTTTCCTAGGATTCCTTAAAATGTCCAGGTATCCTTAGAATGTCACACGTTGAGTAGATGTTTCTTTTCTATCCTTTGGGTCCTTCTGCCCAACCTTACTGAGACCCGGGGCTCTTGTTGCCCTCCTGGGCAGGGGGAGGTCATAGTACCAACTGCCCTCTTCCTTTATTTCCCATTCTCTTTAGGCCCAACAGAAATTGCAGGCGTCCATCCCGGTGGCCGTGAGCTCCATCCTCAGTGTCGTGGCTGGCAGCACCCGCAGCAGCTTTCGGGCTCTTTGCCTCCAGACCCTTCAGGTTAGCAGGAAAGTGTCATTGTGGCTACAGCATCCTGGAGGGAGACTCGGGTTCTAGTCTTGCACTAATGCTCCTTAACACATAGAAGGATGTGGGCAGCGAGGTGGTGCAGTGGATAGAGCACTGGCCCCAGAGTCAGGAGGATCTGAGTTCAAGATCAGACACTTGACACTTGACACTTACTAGCCGTGTGACCCTGGGCAAGTCACTTAACCCCATTGCCTAGCCAAAACAAAAACAACAACAACAACAACAACAACAACAAACACATGGAAGGATGTTGGCTGAGTCACTTCCCTCCTGGGGCTCTCGGTGTCTTCATCTATAAGATGAGGGAGCTGCACTTGATGGCCACAGAAAGATCCTTCTAGGTCTAACAGTGCAGGGTTCTTTTGTTTCTTAGGGCTTTTGATCTTTTTTTTTAACATTTGTTTTTTAAATTTTGGGTTTCAAATTTTCTCCTTTCCTCCCTCCACATCCACCCCTCATTGAGAAGGCAAGCAACTCGATACAGGTTATACATGTGTAGTCACGCAAAACACTTTCATAGGAGTCATGTTGTGAAAAACTATGTATTTCCCTTCATCCTATCCTGCCCCCCATTTATTCCATTCTCTCTTTTGACCCTGTCCCTCCTCAGAAGTGTTTGCTTCTGATTACCCCCTCCCCCAATCTGCTCTCCCCTCTATCATCCCGCTTCTCTCTTGTCCCCTTCCCCTCCATTTTCCTGTAGGGTAAGCTAGATTTCCATACCCAAATGAGTGTGTATGTTATCCCCTCCTTAAGCCAAGTCCGATGAGAATAAGATTCACTCATTTCCTCTCTACCTTCCCCCATTTCCCCTCCACGGTAAAAGCCTTTTCTTGTCTGTTATATGTGAGATAATTTACCTCATTCTACCTCTCCCTTTCTCTTCTCCCAGTATAACCCTCTCTCACCCCTTCATTTTATTCTCCAGATATCACCCTTCATCTTCAACTCACCCTGTGCCCTCTATCTATCTAACTATATACACATACATATGATTTTTCCATCCAACTACCCTAATACTGACAAAGGTCTCATGAGTTATAAATATCATCTTTCCAGGCAGGAATGCAAACAGTTCAGCCTTAATACATCCCTTATGATTTCTCTTTCCTGTTTATCTCTTCATGCTTCTCTTGAGTCTTGTATTTGAAAGTCAAATTTTCTTTTTTTTTTAATTTATTTTGATTTATTAACAATCACTTCCATGTGCTTTTGAGTTTAAAATTTTTCTCCCCCTCCCTCCCTCCATCCCTCCCCAAGACGGCACACAATCTGATATAGACTATACATATATATATTCCTACTAAACATATTTTCACATTAGTGATGTTGTAAGTAAGAATTAGAACCAATAGGAGGAACCACCAGAAAAAGGAAACAAAGCTCAACAGAAGAAAAAAAATAGCAAATAGTATGCTTTGATCTGCATTCAAACTCCATAGTTCTTTCTTTGGCTGTGGAGAGCATTTTCCACCATGAGGCCTTTGGAGATGTCTTAGATCCTTGTATGGCTGGGAAGGGTTAAGTCTTGCAACATTAGTCATCACACAGTGTGGCTGTTATTGTATACAACGTTCTGTTTGTTTTGCTCACTTCACTCAGCATCAGACCACACAAGTCTGAAAGTCACATTTTCTATTCAGTCTGGTACTTTCATCAAGAATGCTTGAAAGTCCTCTATTTCACTGAATGTCTATTTTTTCCCCTGAAGGATTATGCTCAGTTTTGCTGGGGAGGTGATTCTTGGTTGTAATCCTATCTCCTTTGACCTCTGGAATATTATGTTCCAAGCCCTCCGGTCTCTCAATGTAGAAGCTGCTAAATCTTGTGTTATCCTGATTGTGTTTCCACAATACTCGAATTGTTTCTTTATGGCTGCTTGCAATATTTTCTCTTTGACCTGGGAACTCTGAAATTTGGCTACAATATCCCTAGGAGATTTCCTTTGGAGATCTCTTTCAGGAGGTGATCAGTGGATTCTTTCCATTTCTATTTTACCCTCTAGTCCTAAAATATCAGGGCAGTTTTCCTTGATCATTTCTTGAAAGATGATGTCTAGGCTCTTTTTTTGATCATGGCTTTCAGATAGTCCAATAATTTTTAAATTATCTGTCGGCTCTATTTTCCAGGTCAGTTGTTTTTCCAATGAGATTTTTCATATTGTTTTCTATTTTTTCATTCTTTTGGTTTTGTTTTACAGTGTCTTGATTTCTCATAAAGTCACTAGCTTCCAATTGCTCCATTCTAATTTTTAAGGAAGTTTTGTTTTTTAATTTTATTAATTTATTTTGATTTATCAACAATCACTTCCATATGCTTTTGAGTTGAAAATTTTTCTCCCCCTTCCTCCCCGCCACCCTCCCCAAGACAGTGCACAATCTGATATAGGCTTTACATTTACATTCCTATTAAACGTATTTTCACATCAGTGAAGTTGTAAGTAAAAATTAAAACCAATAGGAGGAATCATCAGAAAGATGAAACAAAACTCAACAGAAGGCAAAAATAAGTGATAGCGATTTGACTTCCATAGTTCTTTCTTTGGTTGTGGACAGCATTTTCCATCCCAAGGCCTCTGGAGATGTCCTAGATCCTTGTAATGCTGAGAAGGGTTCAGTTTAACAATATTAGTCATCGCATAATGTGGCTATTATTATGTACAAAGTCCTCTTGGTTCTGCTCACTTCACTCAGCATCAGACCATATAAGTCTTTCCAGGTTTTTCTGAAGTCAGCCTGTTCATCATTTCTTATAGCACAATAGTATTCCATTACATTCATATACCACAACTTGCCCAGCCATTCCCCAATTGATGGGCATCCTCTCAATTAAGGAAGTATTTTCTTCAGTGAGCTTTTGGACTTCCTTTTCTATTTGGCCAATTCTGCTTTTTAAGGCATTCTTCTCCTCATTGGCTTTTTGGACCTCTTTTGCCATTTGGGTTAGGCTATTTTTTAAGGTGTTATTTCTTCAGTATTTTTTGGGGGTCTCCTTTAGCAAGCTGTTGACTTGTTTTTCATGATTTTCTTGCATCACTCTCATTTCTCTTCCCAGTTTTTCCTCTACTTTTTGAGTTCTTCCATGGCCTGGGATCAATTAATATTTTTCTTCGAGGCTTTGGATGTAGGAGCTTTGACTTTGTTGTCTTTTTCTGATTGTATGTTTTGATCTTTGTCACCAAAGAAAGATTCTGTGGTCTGACTCTCTTTTTTTGTGCACAGTTTGCTCATGATCCCAGCCAATTGTTTGAGTTATAAACTCTTTGTTAAGGTAGGGGTCTGCTTCCAGTGTGGAAAATGTACTGTCCCATGCTTTGGGGGTTTTATGCAGCTGTTTTCAGAGATACTTCTAGGGACCTATAAATTTTCAGTTCTTCCAAGGTGGTACAATCAGGGGTGAGGTGTTTACTCCTTTCCTGGCCTGTGCTCTGGTCTAAGAGTGACCACAAGCACTCTTTTCTGCCTTGGAACTGTGAGGAGGATTCCTTCTTCACTGCCTCTACAAGCTCCACCGCCAGCACTCCTCCTTGCCCCAGGACCACCACCCAGAACTGTGACCGAGATCCAAGCATGGGCAAAGCAAGAGAATCCTGCCTCAGCACCAGCAAAGAGATCCCTGCAATCCCTCTCTGATCAGCCACTTGATTCCCCCTCCATCTGTGGACTAAAAACTCTGGAAGCAGCCGCTGCCCCAGGGCTGTGCTGGGACTGGGTCTGAGACTAAGCTTCCCTCTCACCATGGTCACAGACTTTTCCTACTGACCTAAGTTCTCCTTGGCGTTCGTGGGTTGAAAAGTCTGGAAATCGTTACAGCTGCCTGTAATTCAGTCCTCTGAGGGCTGCTCCAGGTTCACTGAGGCCTATTTTGCCAGCACGCCCACACTAAGCTGCGCTCCTCTCCCTGCCCAGTGTGATAGACCTTTCCAATCAACTATCCAGGTTGTGTTGGGCTGGAAATTTGTTTTACTCTGTCTTTTTGTGGGTTCTGCTGCTTTAGAATTTGTTTAGAGCCATTTTTTTACAGGTATTTGGAGGGGTTTGGGGGAGAGCTCAAGCAAGTAATTGCTTTTACTCTGCCATCTTGGCTCCGCCCTCTAGCTTTTGATCTTTTTAAGGCATTTTGACATGGATCCTTTCATCCCCACAGCCCCTCAGCATTAGGGACAGCATGGTGAATGTCATGTGCCCTGTGGACTGACTGCGTGGCCCCAGGCGAGTCATGGAGTCCCTCTGGGTCCCAATCAGCTAGTCGGGAAACACTGTGCCAGGCACTGCTGGGGGAACTGGGAATGCAAAGACAAAACACGAACCATTCCTGCTGCCAGAGAACTTCCACCCCAGGCATCTCTGGCCCCGGAGTGCCAATGCTCCGCGTTGGCAGCGGATTTCATCAACAAACCCACAGGTGTGGGCCCTTCCACCCCCTACAACGACAGCAGTAACAACAACAGAGAAGGGCCTGGGACAGGGATTGTCTTTCTTGTTTGACAGAGGAAGACACGAAGGCTCAGGGTGAGGGACTGCCTCGTCCTGGGACCCGGTCAGTGTGTTTGTGTGTGGTGTACTGGGGCACAGCATGTGAATACGTATGTGTACATGAATGTGTGAGTGTGTATGTATGTGTGTGTGTGTGTGTATATATGTGTGTGGTGTGTGTGAGTATAGTGTATGCATATGTATATGCATGTGTGTGTGCATGTGTGTGTGTGTGTGGTACCTTACAGACCTTTGGCCTCAAAGCTGGAACAAGAGGATTTCTGACAAGATGGCGGGGAAGACAGGTGGGGGTCGGGGAGCTTGGTCAGAGACCCAGGTCCCTGGCACAGGCCCTGCTCTTCTTCACTGGCCTGGATCCCCAACAGGTGGGGGGGCCCCTCTGCTCTTGTCTTGCTCTGCCTGTTTACTTGTCTGTCTTCCTCTGTGTCTCTTCTGTGTCTTCGTCTCCCCCTAGTGTTTCCCACTGTTTCTTGGGTTACAGCTGAAGCTTGTCCCACTACAAAATCTGGTGTAGTGAAAATTAAACTTAGCAAACCTTTATTAAGTGCTCACTCAGTGCCAGATGCTGGACTGGCCTTTGAGGATCCAAAGACAGTAATCTAGAGAGGCCCTGCCCTCAGGGAGCTTCTGTTCGGCCCAGCTGTTTGACCCACACAGAGATAAGTAAAGATGAATACAATAATTTGCACAGGGAGGATCCAGAAGGACTTCCTAGAAGAGGAGGCCCCAGAGCTGAGCTTTGAAGGAAGACACAAATTCACAGTGTTTCAGGCCCTCGCGAGGGCACCACAATCACCTTCTTCATTCCTCTTTGATTCTCTATCCCAGTCCCCTCAGACTGTTCCGAGCCGAGCCTCCTCAGGCCCCAGACCCTCGGCCAGGCCCTTTCCCTGAGCAGTGGGCTTCACCTCAGGACCATCTGTCAGGCTGCATCATGTCCTCGGGGTAGACACCCGGGAACTCCTCAGCCCTCTTCCTTCCCCATTCCTGTCCCTGCTTCTCTTGGGCTCCCGTCTGCCTCTCCCAGGTGCCTCCTCACACTGGCCTCTTCTCTCCTCTGCCTTTCCCCGCCAGGCCCTGGCAAGAGCGCTCTCAGCCCCTCACCCTCTGCTTCTGTACAAGGTCTGCCCTGTCCCTGTTCTCAAGGATCTCTTGTCTTGGATGTTGCTCTTCTCCTTCCTAAAACCTGCCTCACTTCTGTGACCCTGCTCCCCCCCCGCTCCTCCCCTCTGACCTCCCTGACCCCCCGGCCCCCCCGCTGCTCTCCCTGACCCCCCTGTTCCCCCTGTCTTACCCTCCTGACCCTCCGACCCCCCCACTGCTCCCCTCTGACCTCCCTGACCCCCCTGGCTCCCCTGCTGCTCCCCCTGACCCCCACTGCTCCCCCTGACCCCCCTGCTCCCCGTCTTACCCTCCTGACCCCTGACCCCCCCACTGCTCCCATCTTATCTCCCTGACCCCCCCACTGCTCCCCCTGATGCCCCAACTGCCCTGATGCTCCCCCCTGACCCCCCCCGCCCTCCCTGCTGCTCCAGTCTGACCCCTTCTCCTCTGCCTCCACTCCTCTGAGGCATTCCATGCCCACTTACTTGTGTGAGTCTGTAAAATGGGGGTGAGGATAGCCTGTCCCTCTCAGAGTTATGAGAACCAAGTGACATAATAATTATAAAGTGCTTTGAAACTTAAAGTGCACACAAATGTTAAATATCGTTTTCATTATCAGGAGAAAAACTAGGCCTGGATATGTCGATTTGGGAGGGATAGGCAGAGGGGGCTGATGAAGTCAAGAAGAGAGGGGAGGAGCTAGGGCAGCATCATGGGGCACACCAACAGTCAGGGCATGATATGGATGACCAACCAGGTGTCCTAAGAAGGACTGGTCGGGCCGTGTCCAGACCCAGGAGGAGCCTGAGGACTGAGAAGAGGCTGTGGAGTGTGGCAGTAGCTGAAGATGGAGGGGCCGTGTCAGTGGAGTGATGATGGGGGGCACCTGCAGAGGCTGTGGAGGGAGGGAGAGAGGGAGCCGGGAGGCCCCTGCTCTGGAAGCCTGGCTATGCAGGAAGAGGAGATCGGAGTGACAGCTGGGGGGCTTCCAGGGCCTGCCGAGGGCCCTTTAAGGCAGGTCAGTAGGCAGCAGTGAAAGACCCAGAAGAGAGGAAGGGATGGAAGACTGGACCAGATGGGCGGGGATGGGACCAGACGCTCCTCTTCCATGGAGAGGAGGGTTGGCCTTGACTCTCTACAGCCCCTTCTGCCCTCCCTGGGCATTTGTCCACGCACATGGCTGGCTGGATGTCCTACTCGGTAAACTGTAGTGGCTCCCTATTGCTTTGAGGACCAGCCCTCGAACCCTCTGGTGTTTCAAGCCCTTCACAACCTGATCCTGACCTGTCTTTCCAGCCTTGTTCCACATGACTCCGCTTACCATTTTCTGCAGCCATCCCTCCCTCACACGTAATCTCCAGTCTCCATGCCTTTGCACTGGCTGTTCTCCATGCCTGGACTGCCTTCCCTCCTCACCTTTGTGTCTTTGAATCCCTTATTTCCTTCAAAACTCAGCTCAAGCACTGTCCCACCAGCTGCCAGTCCCCTCCAGCCTCCACCCCAGAGGATCAGGCATTTAGGTAGTCTGTATTTTTATGTGGACACTTCTTCACCCAAAAATAAATTGCTTCTTTCGGGCTAGGCCAGGTTTGTTTCTGTCTTGGTATTCCCAGCACCTAGCACGATGCCTGAACACAGCAAGAGTTTCATATATGTCCGTGGATTCTTGCCTCCACCCTCGAGAAGCTTCCTCCCCATGGCCTCCACATTGGCTTCCCTATCTTCTGGCCACGTCACTGTCCTGCTGAAAACCAAACCAAACCCAACCCCTCTCCTCTGGAATAAAATACCAACCTTTAGGCCTCCACCTCCCTTTCTTACTTCTAGCCTCATTTCCCAGTACTCCCTGGGGTGAACTCTGCCCCTCCCCAGACGGCTGGCCTGGCTGGCAGTGTCCTAAGGCCTCACTCCCTGTTTGCTCCCACACACTTGTGCTCCCAGGTGGTCCCCACCCCTGGAAGGCTTGCCCTTCTCAGCTCCAGGCTGGGACCTTTGCCTTCCAAATCCTCCCTGGTTTTAGTGTGGTCTTTCACCGTCTCGTTGGATGTGACTGCTGGGACTGCTTTGTTTTGTAACTCCAGCGGTTTGTGCACAGTAGGTGCTTAGTAAATGTCTGTTCTATCAATTAAGGAAGGAATTCATTCTCTGCATGGGGACCCAGCTTGCCCAGATGCCCAGGGATGGCAGATGGCACCTTGTGTTGGGAGGAATTTCAGTCTTCTGGTCTGGCTGAAGTAGAGAGTGCTTGCAAGGGCTGGGAAGGCACGGAGCCAGCAGTAGAAGGCTCTTCCAGAGGCTGAAGCAGAGGGTGGTCATGAGTGGGGAGGGGTCACTGAGGAGCTCCTGAGAACCTGCCCCTACCTCGGGTGAGGGAGGGGAGATCCCCACCCAGGTACCTGTCAGCTCACAGGAGCTCAGGGAGTTTGGATGGATGGAAAGATGAATTTGGGGTGGATTCAATTTGAGACACTGGGAGATAGTGGGCCGGTGGTGGTGTGGGACCAGAACTCAGGAGAGATGTTAGGGCTTGGTGTAGAGATCTGGGAGTCGTCTCTATAGAGATGACCTTGGACCCATGGAAGCAGATGGGAGGCCCAAGGGAGAGAGAGCAGAAAGAAAAGAGGGCCCAGGACAGAGCCCTGAGGATGGACACACACTTAGATGGCAAGAAATGACGACAGTCCAGCAAAGGAAGCTGAGTTGGAGAACTGAGAGAGGGGAGAGAGGATCTGGGAGGAAGAGGCCATCCTCAGGGTCAGAAGCTACAGAGGAGGATGAGTCCAGGGAAGAGGCCACTGGGCTTGGTCACTAGAAGACACTCCCTATCCCTTGGGGCAGGGGTTAGTTTGTGAGTAAGACTGCAAGGGGTCCAGAAGTGAGCTGGTAGTAAGGAATTGAGGCAGCAGTGAAAGGGGGGGAGCCCTGATACCAGGGGCAGCCCTGGGTAAAGAGCTGTGTGACAGAGGCTGAAAATGGAGAGGACCAGCAGATGGTCGCCTTGGAAGAAGAGATACCAGGACCAGGGGAGAATGGAGTGTGTGACAAGGCAAAGGAGTTTTGAGATGTGGAGGAGCAGAGATGCGCAGCACCCACTCTGATCTGCTGGGCCTCAGTTTACCCATCTGGACTTTCTGATGTCTAGGGCCCCTTCAAGTCGGGACACTCAGTGATTCTGCACATTTGGTCCATCAGGCAGTCGATACCCAGGAGTTCAGGAGGAGACTGCATGAAGCCTTCCAGATGACTCTGCATCAACGCTCTATGTGTGACCCAAAGAAAGTGAGTATGCAGGTAGCCCCGCCCCTGGTTAACCTGTGACCCGAAGCAGGGGTTGGGGGAGGGGACAGTGAGGGGTGCCTGGCACCTCGGCCAGCTGCCACAATGACAGCTCAGTGAGGGCTGGGGGACCCTCCGGGATGAAGACCTACTGGACAGGTCAGACAGCTCTGGGGAGCAAAGGTCACCCAAGCCCTGGCCTCCCATGCTGGCATAGCACAACAGTGACACCTAGTGGCTGCAAATCAGAACTGCAGGTCCAGGTTGGGAGTCCCTTTGCCTCTAGCTCCTCTGACCAGAAAGGAATAGGTTTGGGGCCTCCATTACTGGAAAGTAACAGCTGAGAGGGCATTGATGTGACTGCTGCCCCTGCCAAAGCAGGCCAAACCTCGCCCACTTTCTGGTAATGAGCTGCCCTCTCTGGTGGTCTCCCCGTGAGCCTGCTGGGAAGCTTTCTAACTGAGTCAGGCCTGAAGACTTGCAGGCTCCTGGCCTAGATTCTGACACACTGCACCTGCCACCTCAGCGAGCATGGCGGAAGGACTTCAGTGGAGGAGGAAAAACTTAGTGCATGAACCTCAGTCCGACCAGCTGGGAGGAAGGAGTCTGCTCAGGAGAGGAGCCTTGTAGAAAGAATCACAGATAGAGGGTGGTTAAGACAGAGGCTGAGAAGGAAGCCGGGATGAACGGGGAAAGCATTAAAGTGCGTACTTTGGGTACAGTCCTGGTCTGAGGGCTGGGGACACAGCTAGAAAAGGCCGATGGTGCCTGTCATGAAGCAGCTCCCATTCCAGTGGGGGATAGCACAGAGCTGGGGGCCCTTAGGGAGCAGCAGTCAGGCAGGTGTCAGGCCACTCCCTTGATGTCATTTCCACTGATAAAATCACCCTGGCTCCTGATGCTGAACCACAGATGGGGCCCAGGACTCTGGGGGCCACACCTTTCCCTTCTGGGTCTCCAGTTGCTGTGGCTGCATCTCCCCAGGGGTCACTTCCCAGGATGACCCAGCCCACAGGCCCTGGGCTGTCTCCGTCAAGGTCTGAGGGGAGACAGGGGTCGGGGGGGGGATAGAGGTTTACCTCACTCAGTTGGCACAGGCTGCCTCTTGTGTGTCCCTCCTTCAGAATCAAAGCACGGAAGAGGTAGACCAACCCCGTCTGTGCCTTTTCAGGGGGGCACTCGCCCCTGGGATGCTTTCGTCTCACCGCCAACTCTTAGAAAGCATGCCTCGGGCTGCAGCTCACAGGAAGGAGGCTTTCTCAGGGAAGCACACGTCCCATGTGAAGGACTCCAGGGGTGGCTTCTTTGCGGGTGTTTGCTTCCTCCTGGAGGCCTGCGTGGTTCCCTCTCTTCTCCCCTGGACGTGTAGCTGGGGACTGCCTGAAACTCCACCCGTTCTGGGAACCCTGTGGCTGTTCCCTGACCCAGGCCCTTCCACGACTGACTTGAGCAGCTCCCCACTCTTTCCACAGAGACCCAGGCCCTCCCAGCTGTGGTTTTGTGAGTGGCCAGTTTTCCTCGGTTCTCTCCCCTCCCTCTTATAGGCCCAGAGCTTTAAGAGCTGGGACCCAATCAGATTGCTGCCTGGGATGATGCGCCATCGTGCATCCTCAGTGTGTGGTACAGCGGAGGCAGCAAAGGCAGAGGCGGCCAGTGCGAGGGGTGTGCCCAGGCCTTCCGGCCTCCCCTCTACTGAAACCACAGAGGGTAGGATGGTGAATAATGGAGCTGTGGCATACCAGGGTTCCAGATTACTATTTATGTACATGACCTCATTGAGTCCTCATGAGCTAGGTCTCTTTTGCAGATAAAGCTCAGAGAGGCTGGTCACACAGTGTCAGAGACAGTGCAAACCCAGGGTTCTCCTAACTCCAAGTCCACAGTTCTTCCACCATCCGCACTGCAGGGTACAGGGCCTCTGGGAATGAAGAGGTGCAGACCGGCCTCTCTGACTAGAGGGAACTGATTCTCCTGAGCTGTGAAGAAAGGCTCTCAGATGACTGATCCCAGCAGGCCTGCCAAGTGGCCCCAGAAGAGGCACTGAGGGAACAGCGACCAGGCTGACTGGTCAGGAGCAGGTGCTTCCCAAGAGAGGTTGCGCTCCAGCTGGGTTCTAAAGCAGGAGAGCATAGGAGGGCACCCCAGTGCTCTGGGGCAGCTGTTTCACCTCACACGGCTTTTCTTTAGAAGGAAATCCCTCAAATGGGGGCTGTGTCCCGTGGCTGCTAAACTCACTTGGGGTTTCTGCCTCTCTCAGCAGCAGCTTCCTGAGCCGAGCAGCAGTGCGGAGGAGAGGGAGGAGGGGGACGAAAGCCTAGACGAAGCACTCGCAGGTGAGGGTCTGGTTGCTTCCTGATAGCATGCACACTCGCGCGCGCGCGCGCGCACACACACACACACACACACACACACACACACACAGAGTTACTTGTAGCTAGCCTTCCCAGAGTCCCTAATAATTCTTTGGGCACAGCTGTAGGAAGTTCGTCCTTTAGGGGACAGAGAGGACAGCCAGAAGCAGGGAAGGGTGTATGGGCCTGTAGCCAGCCAGCTTCCATCTTGAATTTGCCATCCTGGGCCAACACCACCTTGACCTTAGTGGCTGGTATTAGCACAGGTGTCCCAACACACAGAGCTTCTGAGAGCACAAGCCACAGATAACTGGAAACAGAATCCCCGAATCCAGTTGGTCCCAATGAACCGCAGGCTGGGTGGGTGGTCTCCTGTTTCATGTCCCAGACTCCCAGTCACCAGAACAGCACACCCGAATGCAAAGTCTGGTGTCAATCCACTATTTAAAATTCATCAGGGGATGTGACTGTTTAAAGGCATCAACCACATTTTATAACGCAGAAAATGCTTTATAATGTGAATATTACCTATTTTACAAGTGTAGATTTACCCCCTCCATGTGACATCCCTGAAATAGCTTACATTTACATAAAGTTCCCTGATTAACAAAGTCACCACTCTTGGAAGATTTGGGAATTGGGGGAGGAAGAAGGGGCTTGGTGAGGAAATACTGCATAATAAAACACAGCCCTGCCCCCCTGGAGCTTATAGTCTAATTGGACACATAAAACGTATACACTTGAATCAGTCAATGAGTGCCACATGTCTGGGGGCTAGAGCTTTAACCAGTCAGGTCTCTGCAGCCATCCTAAGGATCCCCACCAGGCCTGCCTTTGTGCGGCCTCACTTCCTCTTGGCCTGTTTGCCATTCCCTGACCTTGGCTCTCACCCCCAGCCTGGAAGTGCTCCCTCCTCACAACCACCTCTTGCAATCCCCTCATTTTCAGCTTCAGCCGGACCTCTGCCCAGAGGCCTTTCCTGGTCCCACTCTTCGAATCACATATATCTAGTTAACAGTGGTGGCATGGGCCTGTAGGGGCCATTTATGGTGGAAGCTCCCTGAGGACAAGGCCTGGTCTTCCTTTAGTCTCCCTGCTGCCATAGTGAATGGAGAGCCAGCCTCCAGGAAGCAAGAATAGCTAGCACATGGCTCAACCTCCCAAGCCCCAGGCAGTTCTTACCACCTGCAGAGAAGGCACAAATCTGCCACGGTGCAGGAAGTTTCTCATCTATAAAAAAAATTTGTAGGACCTAGCATGGCGCTTTTGACATAGTAGAGACATTCAAAAATGTTTGCTGAATGAATTCAGAAACTGGGTGATCAGTATGGGCTGTAATAGCTGGATTGAGACTGGATCCTGACCATGAAGAATGGGCAACATTTGAATGGAGGGCGCAGACCCTTTTAAGAGAGCAAAAGAACTGAAGGGGGCAGGCTGATTGAGGGGACAATGTAGAAAGAGCTGGGATAGGGTCACACTGTAGTTGTATCAGGAGCCCCTGAAAAGCTACAAGAGGAAGAAGGGGTGCATGCTGGTCCACATGTCTGGCCCCGAAATAGGATGAGGGCTGGGGTCTTTTCCAGGGAGCTGCTGTCCAGGAGAGGCTCCGAGGCCCAAGAGGTCCTGCCAAGGAGAAGGTGTGGGGAGGAAGGCCCAGGCTGCCAGCTGGCTGCCCCTGCTAAGCCTCGGGGAGGCCCCCCAGCGCTCCATCGGAACGGGACCCACCTGCTCCCAGGCCAGGGGCTGGGGCGGCCCGGAGACCCGCGGGGAGGTAAAGGGGCTCTGGGGGGGAAGGTCCCCGGCGGCTAGGAGTGGGGAATAGGTCGGGCCAGAGCCCCCCCTGACAGCCAGCCTGTCCCTCCTCCTCCTCTCCCTAGGACACGCTGTGGCTGCAGGAGGTGTCCAACCTGTCCGAGTGGCTGAGAGCCGGCCCGGGGTCCAGACCCGTACCCTAGGGGGGCAGCCCCCGGCCCCGCTTTTCCAATAAAGGCGCCCGCCAGCCCAGCCGTCCCCGTCAGTCGCTGCGCCGGTCCGTGGTCGGGGAGCGCGGGCGTGGGATGCGCAGGCGGGGCCAGAGGAAGATGGGGGCGGGCGGAGAGCCGGGGGGCGAGGGGGGCAGGCCCGGAGACGGGGGGGACCGGAGGTCAGGCAGGGGGAGCAGGCGGTGGACGCTGAACTGAGGGTTGGAGGGCGGCGGGGGCGGGGACGGAGCCGCGGAGCGGATGGGCCGGAGCCGGAGGGACGAGGGGCTAGGGGGCGGGAAGGGGGGCGGGGCCAGGTAGTACTCCAGGTCAAAATCCGAGTCCACATCAGAGTCCGAATCCGAGTCCGACGGGGGCCGGGGGCGGCGCGGGGCTGCGGCGCGCGAGGGCGGGGCCTCAGCGAGGCGGGGGCGGGGCCTAACCAGGGCGGGGGCGGGTCTCGGGGAACGTGAGGACGGGGCAGAAGCCGGGGGGAGGCGGGGCCAGGCGAGGAGGAGGCGGGGCCAGAAGGGCGCAGAGGCGTGGCTCCGTGCGACGTCGTGACGTCACGCTGCGCGTCGCGGGGGCCCCGCTGGAGCCGCCTCAGCGGTCGCCGGGTGCGCGTCATTGGTGTGCGCCGCGCCGGACTCCGCGGCTCCGGGTACAGAGCGCGATGGCGGCGCTAGGAGGCGACGGACTGCGGCTGCTGTCGGTGTCTGGGCCGGAGCCGGAGCCCGAGTCGGCGGCGCTGAACGGCGCGGGTCCTGGCCTGTGCTGCTGGGTGTCCGTGTGCTCCTGCCTCAGCCTCGCCTGCTCCTACGTGGGCAGCCTTTACGTGTGGAAGAGCGAACTGCCCAGGTGCGGCACGGAGGGGGGAGGGGGCGGGACCTGCGCGGACGGGGCGGGGCTGCGACCGTGGGCTTCCGGAGCAAGGGACGGTGCTGGCGTTGCCAGGGGGCGGGGCCTCGACAAGACTTCCGGGGCAGGGCCGGAACTCGCGGCGGACCTGCCAGAGGCGGGGTCTGCCCTGACAGGGGGCGGGGCTCGGAGGCTCCCGCACACTAACCGTCCCTCCCCAGGGATCATCCCGCGGTCATCAAGCGGAGATTCACCAGCGTCCTCGTGGTGTCCAGCCTCTCCCCGCTCTGTGTGCTGCTTTGGCGAGAGCTCACGGGCCTCCAGGTCCGGGGGGGGCGGGGCCTGGACGCGGGGGCGGGGCACCGGAGGAAAGGCGAGCGGGTCTGGGGCGGGGCCTGGCCGTGGGGGCGGGGCCGCCTCACACCCCTTCTTCCTGGGGCTCAGCCAGGCATATCCCTGTTCACTCTGATGGGCTTCAGGCTGGAGGGCATCTTCCCCGCCGCGTTGCTGCCGCTGCTGCTGACCATGGTGCGTCCCAGCAGGGGGTGGATGGGGGGGGCGGGGGGCAGGCCCTCCCCCTCGCTGAGCCCCCCTCTCCCTCCCCCCAGATCCTGTTCCTGGGCCCCCTGATGCAGCTCTCCGTGGACTGTCCCTGGGACTTGGCCAACGGGCTGAAAGTGGCCCTGGGTGAGTGGGGGAGGCGCTCGGCCAATGAGCTGGAGGGTCGGGGAGCCCCGCGTGGTAGGGCTGGGAGACGGGAGACCTGGGTGCAAGGCCTTCTTGAGCCAGGCCCTTGGCTCTCTAGCCTCAGTTTCCTCATCATTCTGCGGGAGGGAGACTCTGGAGCAGGGGCTAGGGTCTCTGTGTCCGCTGGTTGTGGAACCTTGGGCAAGTGAGTTTACGGCCCTGGACCTCAGTTTTCTCTTCTGTGAAATGGGGACAGTGATATTTGCTTTCCTTTAAGAAGAATCGGGCTTTAACTCAACAAACCAGTGTGTTCCCCAGAGTCCCTGAAGGATGACGGGGGCAGATGGTGGGAACCGAGACCCCTCCTTCCACCTTGGCAGCTCCTGGGGAGGGGGCCCCGGCCCCTGCATGCCCCCCCCTTTACGACCTCCCTCTTGGTCAGCCCCCCAGGCCTGGGCACGATGCCTGACGGACATGCGCTGGCTACGGAACCAGGTGATCGCCCCCCTGACGGAGGAGCTGGTGTTCCGGGCCTGCATGCTGCCCATGCTGGCCCCTTGCACGGGCCTGGGCCCTGCCATCTTCACCTGCCCCCTCTTCTTCGGTGTCGGTGAGCTTCACTCCCCTGGCCAGGCGTGAGGGGCACCCAGAGAGCTGGACAGGTTTCCCAGCGGGGGGTGGGGGTGGGGGCAGCAGGCCTAGGTGTCCCCAAGTCGCCCCTTCCCTTACAGCCCATTTTCACCACGTGATTGAACAGCTCCGTTTCCGCCAGGGCAGCGTGGGAAGCATCTTCTTGTCAGCTGGTGAGGCCTGGGAGACAGATGGGGGCTGGGAAGGGGGTCGGACGGGATGGGGTGACCACTGACCAGGAGCCCCCCCCCCACTCCCTGCAGCGTTCCAGTTCTCCTACACAGCAGTCTTTGGGGCTTACACAGCTTTCCTCTTCATCCGCACAGGTGGGTGCGGCCCTGGGAGAGGTGGGTGGGAGGGGCTGGGAGGCACCCAGGCCTGCTCTGCTGACCCCTGGCTGGCCCCCCTCCCCCAGGACACCTGATTGGACCGGTCCTCTGTCACTCCTTCTGCAACTACATGGGCTTTCCCGCGGTGTGTGCAGCCCTGGAGCACCCCCAGAGGTGCCCCCTGCTGGTGGGCTATGCCTTGGGGGTGGGGCTCTTCCTGCTCCTGCTGCAGCCCCTCACTGAGCCCAGACTGTACAGCAGCCTGCCCCTCTGCCTGCTCCTGGACCGAACAGGGGCCTCAGCCACCTCGCTGTGCTCCTGACCTCTGCTCCCTCCCTACAGACTCTCGTGGGCTCCCCAGCCCCACCCAAGAGAAATGGGTGGGAAGGGCAAGCTGGGGTCCCTGAGATCTCAGGAATTTTGGTGGGAGGACTAGAAGCCAGAGCTGCTTGAGCCCCCAGAACTGAGAGAAAGGGGATCAGGATCCCTGTGGGGCCGGCCAGCCCCTTCTGCACTGTGCTGCTCCTGGGCCTTGGGGAGGCTGCTGGGGGCCAGAAGCAGTCCCTCTGACCTCCCGGGGTTTTCTCATCTTTTTGCATCAGACTTTGTATTCAGATATTAAAGAGTTTTAACTTGGGTAACCCAGAGTCAGGGCCCACCTTTGGCAGCTGGGCTTGGCAATGAACCTTGTGGCTTCTTCTGAAACGGAGCTAAATATTGAAACAGCCTCCTTACAGGGTAGTGGTTGTGAGGCGAGAGCAACGCAGATGTTAAAAGCCATGGAAATGCCGTTCAACCTCCATCGTACACCTGCTGTGTGCTGGGCCCCAGCACTGGCCCTTCCTGCATCATTTGCTATAGAGGCTGGCTCAGCTAGGAGCAGAGGGTAGAGCTCAGCTGAAACAGACCAGAGCTGAGGGCCCTCCCAGCATTGCCCTCCTTAGCTCAGGAAAGCCGGGCCTGGGTTAGAACTACGCTCACAGGCCTGTCTCCTGCTGCTTCTGCACCACACCTCATCAGTGCTGGGTTTGGGCCTAGGTAAGGCACTTCATCGTGCTGACTCAGTTTCCTCCTCTAGGGTCCCTCCCAACTAGTAAATCTATGTCCAGGGAGGGTCAGTCTGCTCAGCCCGGCTCCCAGGTGGCTGGAAGGAGAGAGCAGCTTGAAGCTCCAGGAAACACCACAAACCATGTAGGGGTCACTCACCCTGGGGCAGGCAGGAGGCCCCACTCCAAGCTCCTTCTGCCAGCCCCTCAAGAGGACACAGATGTGGGGCTGTTTTTCTGTGAGGCCTGTACTGGGGGGGGGGGTGTTCTGATGGGAGCTCAGAGGCTGGATGGATGTCCTTGGGGTGTGGTCTTCCACCCAGGGGCCACCAGACACATTAATGCCTGTTCCCTCAGACCCTTGGTCTAGTTGGACAACGTCCCTGTGATCAGGAGGGAGCTGAGGCCTAGGTCACTGAGCAAGGGAGACCCCAGGGGAGTCTCAGCTAAAACCCAGCTTTCCTCTCCTGCCCCTTGGCTGTATGGGGTTCAAAGGCCTGTCTGTATCATTCCTCTGGGCGTCTGTCCTTGAAAAAACGTGGGGCCGGTCCTTGGGGTTCTCTTCAAGGCCTTGACCAAACCCTGCTTTATCCTCCCCACCCAGGGCCGCCTCAGGACGCTGCTGCTAACCTGGGGGGCAAAGGACTGGGCGGCCAGGAGATGACCGTGGACTTTATTTAGAGTGTTTGAGTCTGTTGAGGCTGAAATAAGGAGGTCTCATCCCCTGACCTTCCTGGCCCGGACCCCCCTCCCCTAGAGAGAGGGCACCAATTTGGCAAAGAAACATCCTGCAGGGGGCAGAATGTGATGGGCAGTTTGGGAAGGGGAAGGCAGAGAGGGAGGGTCCTCTTGGTCCCCTGCCACGAGCAGCTGGTCCCTGGGGGCGGCCACAGCCGCCTGGCCAGCTGCCAGTTCCCGTGGCCTGGGTCTCCAGCGTCTACCAAAGGATGAGGGGGAGAGCAGGCCTCCAGTGCTAAGGCACTAGGGACGAGGGAGGAACCATGGGTCACTCGATCTCCAAGATGAGGTCATCCCCCTCCAGGGTCATGTCCTGGGTCACGTGCACCTTCCTGACGGTGCCCTCCGTGGGTGACGTCACCACAGTCTCCATCTTCATGGCGCTCAGCACACACAGCGGCTGTCCCTTAGTCACCTTGGCCCCTGCTTTCACTTTGATGTCGATCACCTTGCCAGGCATCGGGGCCCCAATCTGGCCCTTGACATCCTTCAGGGCCTTGGGGTGGAAATGCATCTCCTGCAGGAGTAGGTGGGAGAAGGGTTGCTGAGAGCCCTGCAGCCCCCCCAGAGCCCGGTGCCCCCATGCCCACCCTCCGCCCCCTTCCCTTGGGAGCCCTACCTTCATGGCCTGCGTGTCCTTGACGAGGATGGAGCGCACTTGGCCGTTGAGCTCGAAGAACACCTGTCTCTGGCCCGCCCGGTTCAGGGCTCCCAAGGCCAGGGCCTTAATGTGCAGGGTTTTGCCCCGTTCCAGCTCCACCTATGGGAGAAGGGGGTCAAGGCAAAGAGGCCGTGGCCGTGGCCGTGCGGACCGCACCGCGCCCCCTCTCGCTCACCTCAAACTCTTCGGCGATCTTGGGCCCCTGCAGAAAGAGTCGAGTGTCGAGGCACTCCAGGGGCCCGAACGTATTGGTGAAATCCTTGAACTGCTGGAAGACGTCTGGGTACATGGCAGACGAAAGCACATCCTCTGGGGTTATCTCCTCCCCATGGCGCTCCTCCAGCTCCTTCTCCACTGCTCCCAAGTCCAGGGGGGGCAGCGTGGCCCCTGGCCGCCCCTCCACGCGGGGCAGATCCTTCAGGACCTGAGGGAGGGAGGAGGCTCGGTCAGTCGGCAGGGTGCCCCACCTCCCCTCCAGCTCCCCCTATCCCCCACCTCCGCCCCAAGCACCTTAGTTCGGAAGGGCTCAGGGAAGCCCCCATGGGGTACACCGATGTATCCCTGCAAGAACTCCACCACGGAGCGTGGGAAGGACAGCTCCTCAGCTTTCTCCTCCGCATCGGCCCGACTCAGCCCGTTCTGGACCATAAACTGGGCCAGGTCCCCCACAATCTTGGAAGAAGGCGTCACCTGGGGCAGGGGGCAGCAGATGAGGACGGGGACACAGAACCTGCCCAGCCTTGAGGGAGCAACGGCGCGGGTCCTCACAAGGGGAGCTAGTCTCCAAAGCGGCATCCTGCACTCACATTCTCTCTCCCCAAGTTGGCCCCACCCAGCCCGAGGTTCTGGGAGGCTGCTGGACCAAAGGCCTCTTTCCTCAGACACTTCTAGCTGTGTGACCCTGTGCAAGTCATTCTTCTCAGCCTCAGTTTCCTCATCTGCAAAATGGGGATCATAACAGCACCTCCCTCCCTCCCAGGTGCCTGTGAGAGTTCTGTGAATTAAGCTTCTGTGAAGCTAGTTAATGACTGAAGGAGCTGCTCTTCTTACCCCTTTACCTTCCCCCTCTTCCCTCCCGGACGCTCGGCTCGATCTGACCCATAGAAGGCCAAGCCGCCGCCCCTCCCCCGCCATGGCGGGGCCTGCCCAAAGATCCCTGTTCTGGGGCAGAGGCTGGACCTCAATGCTGGTCCTGGATGGTTTCGTGGTGCTATGTGCCCTGTGCTCTCTGGGTCTGCCTCCACTTCATCATCTCCACTACAGTGAGACTGAGCTGGGCCTCGTCTAAGACTGTGGGACCAAGCTTCAGAGGGGGCTCTTTGTGCCTTCCCAAGTCCGGCCCCAGCTGCCAGGCCCTCCAGGAATGGCCAGGAACAAGGCTGGGCCTAGGGGCTAGTAGCACCCCCCTCACCTTGATGAGGTCCCCCAGCATCTGGTTGGCCTCCACATAAGCCTTCTTGACTTCCTTGAACTTGGACCCGAGCCCCATGCTGTGGGCCTGGAAGTGCAGGTTGGTGTACTGGCCCCCGGGGATCTCATTCTCATAGACGTCCGAGTTACCAGACTTCATGGTTGCCGTGCAGTCAAAGGGCGCGTATAAGCCCCGGGCCCCCTCCCAGTATTCACTGTAGTCAAACACCCGCTCCAGAGGCACCCCTAGAAAAGCAGGGGAGAGACGCCGTGAGCCACCCTCGGCCCCCCAGGCACTCCAGAGGCCTCCTCCAGCCAGCCTCCCCCCACCGCTGGGAGGGTCTGCAGGAGCTAGGGCAAGTCCAGGCCAGACCTCACTTGGGGGGGCTGTGCCTCTCTACCTGTGTCCAGAGGGGTCTCCTTGGTGCAGGCCACCACGGCCCCCATGCTAGGCTGGGAAGTAATTCCTGACATCGAGTCGACTGCCACGTCGACCACATCGGCCCCCGCCTGTGCACAGGCCAGCATGCTGGCCACGCCTGAGCCAGCCGTGTCATGGGTGTGGATGTGCAGGGGAAGGTCTGGAAAGCGATCTCGGAGAGAGCTCACCAGCATGGTACAGGCTGCTGGTTTCAGAAGGCCCGCCATGTCCTGAGGCAGAGAGACCAGGAGAGTCAGCAGGGATGGGCCTAGAAAGTGAAGGAGGACACTCTCCCAAGGGGGAGGTAGAGGGAGGGAAGAAGAGAGAAAGGGAGGGAGGGAAGAAGACAGGAGGAGAGGGAGGGAAGAAGACAGGAGGGGAGGGAGGGAAGAGAGGAAGGGAGGGAAGGTCTCAGCCACCTTTATGCACAGTATGTGGGTCCCTGCCCGCACCAGCTGCTCGGCCAGGTCCATGTAGTACTGCAGGGAGTACTTGGTGCGGGTGGGGTCGGCCACATCGCCGGTGTAGGAGATGGCAGCTTCCACCACGCCGCCAGCACTGCCCACCGCCTCCATGCCCAGCAGCAGGTTGGGCAGGTAGTTGAGAGAGTCAAAGATGCGGAACACATCCATGCCGTTTTCCTTGGCTACCTCGCAGAACCTAGGGAGGGGAGCAGGTGCTGAGGAGGGGGCCCCTCAGGTCTCACCTCTGGACCAATGCCTTGTGGCAGCAGCTGTGGCTCCTAGGTAGCTCAGCCCCTGGCTGGGCCCTCCACTCCCCCTCCAGAGAAGAGAGAGATGCCTGGGGTGGCAGGGTGGGGCAGGGGGTACACGAGCCGGGAAGGCTCCACCTGGAGCAGGGCTGATGGCCATAATGCCCAGGTCTGTCCCTAAAGGTCAGCTGGGCCTTGGTGGGGTCTAGTGTCTGCAGGGGGAGGAGGGGCCCTCTACAGGCCAGGTGAGCTGGGCCCAGAAGACCTGACCCCAAGGTGGTTTGCCTCCGGCCCCCTGGGGGAAGCTCCCATTACCCGCCACGGCTGTCTACACAGGGCAGCCTGCTCGAGGGAGGCATGTGCACGCCATGCCACGCAGGGAGTGCTCACTTGGAGACCACGTTGTCGGGGTAGTTGGTATAGCCCACGGCATTGGCGCCCCGCAGCAGCATCTGGAAGGGGATGTTGGGGATGAGTTCTCTGAGCTCCTGCAGCCTCCGCCACGGACACTCATAGAGGAAGCGCATAGACACATCGAATGTGGCTCCTGGGTGAGAAAGGAGGGAGGGCTGGGCACGGCTGAAGTGGAGCCAGACTCTCCCCTCCTGCCACCAGGCCTTTGCTCCAGCTGTGCCCCACACCTGAGATGCCTT